ACAGCTGGTGGTGGTGTCACACGGCCCCGAGAATGAAGTTCAGACTCCTCATGTGGGTCAGCAAATCTCTGGGTCTGACTCCTGCTTCCCTCTCTGACCTCACCTCTTCTTTCCAGCTCTGTTCCTCTGCTCCCCAGTGCTTGGGCATAGCAGAGTTTTCAGTTTTCTTAACTACTGTTGTGCCAAGGTCCCTCTTGTTTCTGGGCCTCCTACATCCTATACTATCCTCCACCTAAAATACGTTACCTCATCTTTCCTATGACTGTTTACCTCTTAATCATTCTTAAGATCTCAAGTTAGATGTCTTAGAATTCCCTTATTCATCCCAACCCCCTAAGTTTTTAATTCCAGTTCCCTTGGTGTACTCCTGGAACATCCTCACCGCTTGTCCTAGCACTCAACACACTGGGCTGTGATTGATCAGTTACCTGTCAGTCTGCCCCACCAAACTGGGAGTTCCTTGAGGGCAAGTGCCGGAGAAAGGCATCCTGTCTGACTCATGTCCCTTTGTATACTTAGTGCCTGGCTCCTGGGAGGTAGGCGTTTTGGGAACAAATGTGTTAAGTTTGACTTTAGGCCAGTGATTGTGAACTGTTGAGGGAGCCAGGAGTCTCCTTATCTTTTGAAATTGGGAATATGATGGGAGTATTAGTCTGTTTCCCAAGAAGAATGCACATAAAGATAAATGTTTGCGTGCTTTCTAGGTCTGCATGTTTTCCTGTGGCCCCACAGAGAGTCAGAGCAGCCTCTGCCACCAGCACTGTCACATATGCATAGACTCATGTACACGGGCACATGTGCAAATAGGACGTAAGACTAATGTGTTAGCCATGATTTTCAGTTTAGCCTACCTACTTACTACATTCTAGTACTCCACCCTCTTCATTTCCTAAATTGAGACATGATTTTATTTGTCCCAGCAGTTGAGATGCTACATTTTCTTGTCAAACATTAAACTAGTGCTGTAATTTACATTTTATTCCATATCATGTCCTTTTTAAATCTGTAACAATACTCTTAGGCCATATGTATTTATAGAATAAATGTAGGCTTTTTAAAAATACTTCCCACAGTGGTGAATCCAGAAGCCAAAAGCATATAATTCTGAGGATGCTTTTGATGTTTTTTTGTTTTGTTTTTTTCTGAGTGTGCAAAGCTAACTGGGCAATAAGTAGATCAATGCAACGCCTGCCCTTGGCCTCATTGCCCCTAACACCACAATCAACTGAGCCAGTAGGACTAGGCCGAAGATTTCTCATTGTATTTATTTATAAGTTCTAAATGATTTGATACCATATCTACTCTGTTTTATAACTCAGACCACATAGTCTCATTCCCAGTTCCACAGGCTTAGCTATGTCTCCTCCCCACGAACTTTGCTTTCTCTCCTTGAAGTGGAAGCCCCTTCCTGCACCTATAATAGACTAACATCCATGTCCTGGATCTGGGTCCCTCTTGCCTCTTTAAAGGCTTTACTTGAGCACTGGTCTGTGTCTCCTGTATCATCATTATCTCTGCTAGATTATTTCCGTGGGTAAATAACTTGCCTTAATAACTATCACTCATCTTTAAAATAGTAAAATGGGGTTGTAGTTACCCATTTTAATTAACCTTTACTGCTTTATTTCTCCCCATTGTATCATACTCCTGGAAAAAGTTATCTATACTCATTGTTCCCACATTCTCATTTTCATCTTTCATTCAATTCTTTCTTATCAGACTTTCTTTACATACCACTTCACTGGAAGATTCCTTATCAAGGTCACCAGCCTCTATCTAGTGAAAGCCAACTGTCCATTCTCTGTCTTCATCTTACTCAACCTTTGTAACACCATTGATACAGTCCACCACATTATCTTCTGCTTTTAAAAAAACCTTTATAGATTTACCTTCTATTGCATGAACCTGTTTATGAGTCATACACCCTTCCCCACCCTTCTGTTTCTTAGTTGCTTTTAGCTTCTCTTCCCTATCTGATCATCTGATGTTGCATTATTCCAAGACTCTTGCCTTAGCCCTCTCTCTTCTTGTCTACTTACTCTAGCTTTCCAGGAGCTCTTATTGGGCCCATAGCTCCAGAATCATCTGTATATTGATGACTCTGGCTCGGGTCTCTCCCTGAGTTCCAGATACTGGACGTTTTCACTTGTGTGTTCAATGGTCATCTCATGTGTAAACCTATAAAGCAGAACCATTAACTCCTGCCTCCCTTTTCCCACAATTCCTAAAGCCTACTTTTTCTTGATAAATGTCTCTGGCATCTATTCACTTAAATACATGAATCCCCCCAAAATCTAGATGGCGTTCTTTATTCTTTCCTTTCTCTCATCCACACATCTTGCGCTCTTCAGTTTTTCCTTCACACAACTATTTAAATGAGATTCTTGTGATTTCCATTGAACTGAGAGTAAATGCCAGTCCTCTCTCCATGTTATTTTAATTGTCTTTATTTGTCTCCCTCCAGTTTAATGTAAGCTTGCTGAATGTAGGACTTTTGTTGTTCCCACTGACTCCAGCATGTAGAACAGTCCTTGGAAGTAGTGGATGTTCAATAACTATCTGTGGGGGAACAGACTATTGTTACAGAACACCTAACTTCATTCTATTTAGGTTATATAAGTTTATTATTTTATAATAGGTGAACTGGAACCTAGGTCTTCTGATTCCTAAACGAGACACCTTGATTGTTGTAGTGATGTAGGTGTTGTTTGTTTGTGTGGTGGTATTATGGAAGAATTATAACCCTTTAGCACCAGCTGCTTTTTTCCTTCCCAAATTCCCTCCAGGATACATTTTATTATTTTTTAATATGTTTTTATTGATTTTTAGAGAGAGAGAGAGGAAGGGAGAGATAGATAGAAACATCAGTGTGAGAAAAATACATCTATCGGCTGCCTCCTGCACTCCCCCTACTGGGGACTGAGCCTGCAACCCGGGTATGTGCCCTGACCAGACATCAAACCAGGGCCTCTCAGTCCATGGGACAATGTTCAATCCACTGAGCCACACCGGCCGGGCTCCAGGATACATTTTAAAGCTATCGTTAACTGTATGGCTGTTCTTTTCAGCTTTAACATAAAATATTGGTCCTTGTTATAACCAATATAAGTTTTTGATTATTTTTATAATTACAGTGGTGATATTTAAAACTACCTGGTATTGTATATGTAATTAATGGTAAGCTCTATTAAGTATAAGCTAAACTGGTAGAACACTGCAGTATCTTCAAACAAATTTCTTAGAAAACATTGAAGACTGACAGGAAGAGAAATAGCAGTCTTTTATTTTTGCTAGTACAGGCATTAAAATATAAGGCAAACTTACCCACTATCTAATATCATCTTTTTGTAGAAGAAAGAACATTTAATTTGAAAAGCAGTAAGCACATGATCAGAACAGCATCTCAAAGTATAATTCTTTAAAACAAATAACTTTTGTTTGTGGAAAACCACATTGCATTGATTTTCCTGTCCTCCATTCAAACCATGGGCCATTGTTAACTCTGCAGCCAGGTGTGATTGGGCAGCATTGCTCTAGTCTGCAGAAACAGTGTGGATTCTAAATTATAATTTGCAAGTTTCTTCTCTCATAATGCCTTTCCCCCTAGTAACAATTGCTACAATCCCTGGCTACTTTTCTTTGCATTGACTTTGTCTCAAAGCCTAGAACTCTGTGGACTCTTTCAGTTGATGACTTTTGTCCTCAGAAATCTAATACACTTTCTGAGCTGCCCAGTGTGGACCACCTTTGTTAGAGCTGCTAACAAACATGTTCTGGAATATTTTTGGTACCTTTAACAAAGTAAATAATTAAAAAATCTATATTTCTCACTGTGCATTCTAATAGTGTGCTCTCTCTGTTCTCTCTCTCTGGCTTTCCGCCTGCCTCTGCATTGAGGTTAATAGTAAACCACTTAAAGCCCAGAGCCTTCCAGTCATCTGCTGGATGTTCTCTTACAATGAGCTCTTGCCCCCGAGCCCCCAAAAAGGGTTGGAGTTAATTGAATTAATTACAAATTTAAATTTGTGGTGATAAATTAAGTCATATCACCCTGATACCTCTGCCCCCTTTTCGCTGGTCTTAAACAAACTAAGGAAAAATGCTTGCCACTGCTGTGCGTTCATACCGCCACGATAATGTAAGTATGTACATGCTTTGCATAAGCAGATTTGGATAGAGCTAGGTTTGACAGGATCAACAGGTTAAATCACAGTAGGGCTTGTTTGATAAGGTGAAGGAAAGGCAGAACTGATCTTCACCCAACTCTTTCTCAACCTCTTCCCTCATAGATTTCTAATTCCACACTCCAGGCATAATATTATTTCCCTCACAGTGACAGAAGGGGCAGTCAGTCAGTAGTTCCTCAACTGGAAATAAATCCTAAAAGTAAAACTTGAAATGAAGGTCATCCTAAGTCTCCTGTTTTTTGTGACTTGCAAATCTTTTATCAATCCAAGCATAACAGACATTTGGTAAGAAGTGGAGTTGTTAGAGCTTGTGATAGATTAACTTTTTATTGTTCTTCAGTAAATACAAGTGAAATTGGAGAAGTTCACTGATCAAGTTAACCAAGATGCAATAAATAAGGCAAACTAATATCTTTATATAGTCCCCCATTTTGGGCAGGAATATATCATAAGTGAAGGTCATGGAAATGTTTAATTCCAATATAAAAATGATCAAAGCATCGTATCAGTTCTCTAGCAGTCTACAAGGTGGAATAAGAGAGTATGATAAAAAAATAATAAATAAGCAGTTTGGAAAAGTGAATATCCTTAATCTAATTTTGAATTATCTGCTTAAAGTGTTCTCTTAAAGTGTTGATTATGTTTGTAGTGATGTAAATTCTGAACACTGCTAACACGCAAAAATAAACCATTCTGAGAAGGTCTTATTAATTGGAATCTAAAATGTAAAGAGTGAATGTATTTTTAATGAAATAGATATTTTTATTTGTAAGTAGTAACACTGTTCACTGAAATTTTGTTTCTTTTTATTAGGTTTAAGTGGAAACCCTACAGATATAGAAAGAAGAGAAGCGGCGTTTGGAAAGAATTTTATACCTCCTAAAAAGCCAAAAACCTTTCTTCAGTTAGTATGGGAAGCATTACAAGATGTCACTTTAATTATATTAGAAATTGCAGCCATAGTATCACTGGGCCTTTCTTTTTATCAACCTCCAGAAGGGAATAATGCACGTAAGTACATTGAAGAGGAAAAAGAAGACTTTTGTGAGTGAGGCTAAGTTCAGCTCACTAGCTTACCTAATACATAATAATAATAGCAGACCAGCGTTTATTGACTGTTTGTTATGTATTGGACACCATTCTAATAGTGCCTTTAGTAGTTCTTTAACTATATCACCACAGATCATTTTCACAACAACCTTATGATATAGATAGTGTCACCTCCATTTTACAGTGAGAGACAGGGTAAATAAGCTGCTCATATATGCACACTGTGTGTCTGGCAAGGAGCTAAACCATATGCATGATGTGGTCTGTTCCATCACTGTTTTTAAGTTTTTTGGAATACTCTTGTGAAATAATTTTTCATTTGGATTTTTTGTTTTAAATCTTAGAAAATCATTATGAAAGCAGAATTCTTCCCAATCCATTACTTTTGAAGTTCTTAAAATGTGTTGTTATGTTCATGATTTGAATCATTTCCTTACCATTCTAGATAAGTTTATACTACAAAGTATCCTGACCAGTGGAAAAATACATTAAGGAATGGTAGATCAGCTTTAACTTGTAGCTACAAATGGTTTTGTTTTTCTCCTATATTTCTATGGCCTTCCTTTCTCTCTTCAATTTCTTCTTCTCCATTTAAAAAATGTATTCAACTGGGTATATCTGACAGTATATTCTATAACTGCTAGGACATCTAGTTTGGATTTTGGTCAGTGTATTTAAGTAGCTATAAAGTGAATCAGTAATATTTTATATGTCAGAAGACACATAAATTTGGTTCACCAAAATGCTTTCGTTTGTGAAAACTTCATTCTTGTGCCTTTCAAGTTATGAAAATTGAATATATATTTGCTAGCTCAAAAAGTTGACTGTAAAGTAATTCCTTCAAAGGTATTGTGAAAACTTTTTTTCCTTTGAAGAAAGTTGGTCACAGAAGAAGCCAGTTTATCTGAGATCAGTTTGGATCAGTCAGGGTTTCTCAGCAGCAACACTATTGACATTTTGCACTGAAACATTCTTTGTTGTCATGTTCATTATACCGCCTCCGATCATGCAATCAAAGAGTGTCCAGGCATTGCACAGTATCCCTTGGAGGTCAAAACTGTGTGGTTTAGAATAACTGATGTAGCTAAGAAAGGATTTAGGCACCCTGGCCAGTTTGGCTCAGCGGTTGGAGTGTCAGCCCGTGGACCAGAGAGTCCGGGGTTCGGTTCCCATTAGGGGCACGTACCAAAAAAAAGAAAGGATTTAGGCAATGTTCTCGTTAGTATTAAGGCAAATTATTTTTAACACTGTTCTTTTTCTTTTTAATTTTAAAAGCTTTTATTTTTGTTAAGGAATACGATAAAATAGTACGTATTTTGCTATGGAAGTATTAGGGAGGAAATGACAATTCAGAGGAAATAATGCTTATTGAAAATCCCACTTCTCAGAGATTACTGCTATACCATTTTGATATATATCCTCCCATATTTTAAAAGTGTTTTTTTGGCCCTGGCCAGTTTGGCTCAGCGGTTAGAGCGTCGGCCTGCGATCCGGAGAGACCCGGGTTCGGTTCCCGCTAAGGGCACGTACTTCAGTTGCAGTTTGTCCCCGGCCCTGGTTGGTCGTGCGGGTGGCAGCCACTCAATGTGTCCCTTCACGTCGATGTTTCTCTCTCTCTCTCTCCCTTCCTCTCTCTCCCTCCCACTCTATCTGTACAAAAAATGGAAAAATATCCTTGGGTGAGGATAAAAAAAAAAGTGGGTTTTTTTTTTTGTGTGTGTGTGTGTGTGTGTGCCTGGCCCGCGTGGCTCAGAGGTTGAACGTTGACTCATGCACCAAGAGGTTGCTGGTTCAATTCCTAGTCAGGGCACATGCCCATGTTGTGAGCCAAATCCCCAGTGGGGGGCATGCAGGAACCAGCCAATTGATGTCTGTCTCATCGAGGTTTCTATTTCTCCTTCTCCCTTCTTCTCTCTCTAAATTCAATAAAGAAAAAAATTTTTAAAAATATTTTTGTGTAGATGTGTATGATTGGGTAGGTTTAAGAATGTGTAAATGTATGTCTTTTTATCTGAAAAGGAAGGTCATACCATGTTTCGCAATATATAGCTAAAATCATTAGTGTTCAGTTTACCCAGCTGTCATTATAGAACACTGGGAATTGGTATTCTAGAATTAAAGAGTTAGCAGATTATTAAAAAACTTACCACTTTTAACATTTTTTTCCCAAGACTAGAAGAAAACTAAAGAAAAATATTTTCGACAGGACTGGATTGTTACTAATAAGGTCAGGACAGATCTTCAAATTTTCAAAATTTCTTACTGATTACGTTTGATGTAAAAAGAAGCACTATAAACCACATCATGAATAATCTTTAGTCACCAGTATATATATACTACTAGTGGTTCTCAGACTTTTTGGTTGCAGGGCCCTTGATACTCTTCAAGTACTGAGGACTCCAATGAGCTTTGATTATGTAGTTATATCTCTAGGTGTTTACTGTACTCTGAATTAAAACTGAGAAATTTAAAAGTATTTATCAACATATTTAAAATAACTGTTATAATAAATAATTATAATTACTATGTTTAATTGTGATTAATGAAGTTTTAAATGAAGTAATAAAAAGAGTAGTGGTGTTTTTTATTTTATTGTATCTCTTTAATGTCAGTCTTAATTGAAGATAATGAAATTCTCACCTGCTTCTGTATGCATTGTATCATATTAGCACATGCAGTGCATTCTTTGGAGAATTCCACTACACGTTCATGAAATACAAGAAAAATTTTTTGTGAATATTCATATCATTCTTTATTTCATCCCCAGTTGGACTTATCTAGCCTCTGTCTTCTCTCTCTTTGTCTGACCCACATACTCTCCCAGTTAATTTTATTCAGCACCCTTGCACCTCAATCCTCTCTTCTGTTCATGTCCACTATTCTGGAATATGCTTTAATCATTTCTAGTGTCTTTCATTTAATCATTCTTTTCTTCTGAATCATCTTTTTCTTATCTGTGCTAAGAGAAATATTGACTTTCACAGTTTTCAGTTCAATGCTCCAGTAAGAAAGAATTCATATAGGAATGCAGAACATACGCTTTCATGTGAATTTAGAAATAACCAAAGTAAACTTTCAAGAAACATTATGTACCTTTACTACTTTTATGTTTTGTTCTGCTTCATTTTTCAAGACTGGTCACAAGCCACCAAATTGATTTTAGACTGACAAATAAATTACAACCCAGCCCTGGTGGGCTTGGTTCAGCGGTTAGAGCATCGGCCTGCAGTCCAGAGAGACCCGGGTTGCAGTTTGTCCCCAGCCCTGGTTGGTTGTGCGGGTGGCAGCCACTCAATATGTCCCTTTCACATTGATGTTTCTCTCTCTCTCTTTTCCTCTCTCTCCCTCCCACTCTATCTGAACAAAAAATGGAAAAATGTCCTCGGGCGAGGATAAAAAAAAATTACAGCCCAAAGTCCAAGCAGCACTTGCCATTCTATTATTCTTTCCTCATCATGATTGACTCTACAGTTGTGAGTTTTTGAAATTTTCCTCTTCTGTCTTTTTTCAAACACTTTTCTGCCATAGAGCCTTCGTACTGACTTACATCTGTCCCTGGAATACTGTTTCCTTAGAGCTGTATGATTAGTTCCTGTTTATCATTTGGCTCCTACCTCAAATGTCATGGATACTTCAGAGGGGCCTTCTCTGTCCGTCTAACCAGTTAGCCCTCTTTCTTCATTTGTAAGCACGTCATCAATGTTTTATTTTCTTCATGGCCCTTAGGATATCTGATAGGAATTATATGTGTTTTATTATCCGAAGTCGTCATACTTCCTCCGCACCTACCAATCTGAGTATGGGTTCTGTGAGGAGCTTGCGTGGCTCATTCACTTCTGTGTCCCCAGCTCCCAAAATGGTGTCTGTCTGGCACCTAGACTAGGTGCTGAAATAGTTGACTTAATGAGTAGCACTTTACTTAACTTTTCATGCCATAAAAGCCAACATTTGATCGTATTCCTGTAAAATGAATGTCACAAGTAAGCATGATTCATGTGTAGCACATAATACTTTCCATGGGCATCTTAGCTACCTGCTGCTCTACCTGCTTGCAAATGTCTTCATTGAATTATCACAACACTGGAGTAGGTGATGGTATCCTATTGGACAGGTGGAGAAACCAAGTCTCAGAAATAAGTAACTTGCCTAAGGGTTGGGGTTTAAATTTTTCCAGTCTTTACCCTTAAATAGTACCCTAGAGTGCCTCCCCTGTCCTGAGGTTGAGAATCTTCAGAGACAGGGAACTTGAAGTTGACCTAGGAAGCATTTTTGTCCTTATGGAGTGCTTTGAGCTCAGTGAGGTGTTTAGAGTGTTAAGTAAAATTAGCAAGGTAGATAAAGATCATAACTTACCACATGTTATTGCTATCCATTCAGGATCCTTTCTGATGAACATTTTCTTTTTTTCCAAATAGTTTGTGGAGAAGTTTCTGTTGGAGAGGAAGAAGGTGAAGGTGAAACTGGTTGGATTGAAGGAGCTGCAATCCTCCTGTCAGTAGTATGTGTAGTGTTAGTGACAGCTTTCAACGACTGGAGTAAGGAGAAACAGTTTAGAGGTTTGCAGAGTCGAATTGAACAAGAACAGAAGTTCACAGTCATCAGGGGTGGTCAGGTCATTCAGATACCTGTAGCTGACATTATTGTTGGAGATATTGCTCAAGTGAAATATGGTAAGTAAAGAAGAGAATCAATCTGACACCAAATGTAAGATTGTCATCTTGTTCCCAGCTGAGCATATCGTGTGTTTTTTTGTTTTAGGTGATCTCCTTCCTGCTGATGGCATACTTATTCAAGGCAATGATCTTAAGATTGATGAAAGTTCCTTGACTGGTGAATCTGATCATGTTAAAAAATCTTTAGATAAGGACCCCTTACTTCTATCAGGTATGAATTTCTTTTATAACTTTTAACTTTTTTCTCCCTCACAGCTGTATACCATTGTCAGCAAACATGCATTCTATAAGAGCCAGTAATGTGAAGAGGATACTAGATTTTGTGCTGACATGCCCTGGCTGGTTTGGCTCAGCGGTTAGAGCATCAGCCTGCGGACCGAAGAGTCTTGAGTTCAATTCCCAGTCGAGGACATGTACCTGGGTTGTAGATTTGATCTCCAGCCCTGGTTGGGGTTGTGCAGGAGGCAACCAGTCGATGTGTCACTCTCACATTGATGTCTCTCTCTCTCCCTCAAAAAAAAAATCAATGGAAAGATATCCTCCATTGAGGATTAACAAACAAAGAAAACAACAACAAGAATGGATTTTATGCTGACTTATAATTTATAATACTTAGTGATTTTCCTTTGTAAGCTGTTGAAGATATTAGAGATCTTTGAATCCAGAGCTGTATTTTACAAATGAGGAAACTGAGTCCAAAAAAGTCTAGAGATTTGAGAGTCAGTATTAGCTAATGTTAAAACTAAAATATTATAGTCAAATGATCTTGATTGAATTGTTCTTTTTTTCTGTATCACATCTAAATTTATGGTCTGTTGAAGTGGGAAATTGAAGACTATGCTTAAAGCAAACTAATGAATTCTCTATGTTGGTCTACAAAAGACATAGTTTTGTTTTATTGTTGTTGTCTTTAAAGTTTACCAAATCTCACTCCCGCTTTAAATTACTGAGGACAGTCTGAAACATAAGCTGTTTCTCAAAGATTATGTAACTAATCCACAGGAGGTCCAGAGTAGCACCACATCTGCAAGGCGGGATTAAATTTGCACATGGTTAAGACATGCGCTGGAAGTGGGAAAAGGGAGGATTTGTATGGGTGAAAGGACTTTGTTTGAAAAGGTGCTTGTCTGCTTGGGAGATTCTTACCACAGCCTGACAGTGACAGCTTGACCTAAGGTCAGCTGGAGATGAAATGGAATGGGTGATGGGAACGGTTACCAGCTGCCTTCTAAAATGCATCGGGTCGAATTATACCAGAGTTTGGAGGAAGCAGGTTGTTGTTTCTTTGTCTTCTGTTATCATTTTCAGAAGTTAATGAAATGCTAACACTTTGTATACATAGTGAGGAGATTCCTGCTGGTTTAACTCTCCAATAACTTGGCAACTTTAATTTTCTAGTTCTTCTCTGTGAATTTTGTATTTCAATTGGTTAAACATGGTTTTACTGAAACCAAAGTCAAACCTGTGACTTGGGTCAGTTAAGTTAGAATCACAATTTTGGGGCACATACCTAAGTTTAACTATTACCTTTTTAAGATGTGCAAATATGTGCCAAAAAACATATTGCAGAACACCCCACCACCAAAAATGAGAGTAATTACATTCCACCGTAATTACTAAAAGTCACAGTAATTAACACTGGCCAGTGTGGCTTGGTTGGGTAGCGTCCCGTGCACCAGGAGGTTGCTGGTTCAGTTTCCAGTAAGGGCACATGCCTGCTTGCAGGCTCAATCCTGGGCATTGCACGAGGCAGTGATTGATGTTCTGCCCTCGCATCTATGTTTCTCTCTCTCCCTCTCTAAAAATTAATAAACTATTAAAAAATCATTGTAATTACATGTATGTACATTTATAAACAGGGTAAATGTTTCAGTTGTAATATAGACAATATTTATTTGAAAAAATCCTGAGGTTTGTGTGCCTTCTAAGTTCTACACTACTGAGAACATTTGTACTGCATTTGGGTTTCCCCTTATATTGATGTGCTTGTGATTTATTCCAAACAGACAGGAATGTTTTGGGCATATAAAGTATTACGTATAATGTATACTTATTTTATTATTCTTTGACATACATCTAAGAAACTGTATTTAATGTTAACCAAATAAAATCTATAATCTTTCCAAAGGAGAAAGAAGCTATGTAATCCATACCTAGCTTACCTCCATAGACTAACTGGGCCTTGATACTTGGTAAACTAAAATAGTCTCCTCTTGCCTTTTTGCCATATATACTTCATGGACTTTTACGTACATCTAGCTTGTTTACCTAGTGCTTAGCCCTTCAGGTTGACATCCTTTGACTGAACTTTCGTCCTTTCCTGTTTTCTACAGAAATGGCTGGTAAATTAATATAGAGTTGGGTTCCTAATACACCAAATATACCAGGAGAACTCGATAAATTTTCCATGCTTAAGAAAAGATTGAAATAACTTTGTCGAGTCCCTTATCGCAGTACGGGTGGGAACGTTTTTCTGCATTTATTTCCCTATTCCAAAAATGTACTAAAAAACATGAAATGCATTTATTTTTAAATTTATTCTCATGATGCCATTTCTCACTGCTGTTCTTGGCTTCTTAAATTTAGATCTTTAAAAGCAGTTTTTAGTTAGCAGTGGGGATATGACTAGAACAAAAACTGTTTATTTTGAGCACATTAACTGCCAACATATGATTACCTGTGGTAAGGAAGAACAGAACATAAAAAATTGAAATCTGCCCGAAAGCCAGAATTATTAAAAGAAACAAGCTATCTTTTACACGTAGCACTTGCCCAGTAAATATTGTTTCACTGTCCTGAATTTCACTTATTGTTTCCCTTGCATTTTCACTGGCAAAGAAAGTAATGATTAGTGAAATATTCAGAATATATATTTTTTAATTTTTTAATCTTCACCCAAGGATATTTTTCCATTTATTTTCAGACATAGTAGAGGGAGAGAGACATCGATGTGAAAGGGACACATCGACTGGTTGTCTCCCGCAGGACCATGACCAGGGCCGGGGACAAACTGCAACTGAGGTACATGCCCTTGACTGGAACTTAACCCGTGACTCATTGGTCTTTGAGCCGACACTCCAACCACTGAGCCAAACCAGCCAGGGCCAGAATATAGATTTTTTTTATGAATTTATTTATTTTTTATTTATTTTTAGAGAGAGAGGAAGGGAAAGGGAGAGAGAAATTGAACATCCATGAGAGAGATTGGCCGCCTCCTGCATGCCCCCCACTGGGTGTTTGGCCCACAACCTGGGCTTGTACCATGACTGGGAATCGAACTGGCGACCTCTTGGTGCATGGGTCGACGCTCCAACACTGAGCTGCACTTGCTGGGCCAGAATATAGAATTTTAAAGCAAGAAAACCAAAGGCCTAAAAATTTCATATTAGAGAAGTCACTCCATAATTCATAACCAAGTACATATAAATTCTTAAGTACTGAAGTAAGTACATATGCTTAATGGTCTAATTTAGCAAATAACCTTTGAGCATTGACTTCGTACCTAAGTACGATGGTGGTAGGTGCTATAGACTCTGTCCTCCGGGTGGTTGTGAATTAGGAGATCAAATAAATGATAACTGTCAAGACTTGAGTGTTAAAAAAAAAAGTTGCATTTTGAAAGCTACTTAAAATGCACGGGAATGTTAGAGGAGAGGGGCAGGACCCTGTTAGGGAATGCTGGCAGGTGCAGGGGCGCGGCCGCCCACGTGGGAGCTGGGAGCACATTCCTCAGCACTGCGTCCTGAGAAGTGATGGCCTTGGCCCTCGGGCAGAGCAGGGTTGAATGTTTGCCTTGCTGCTTAATAGCTCTGTAAACTTGGGATAGTTTCTAGAAAAGAATAAAAATGTCTGCCGACTCTGGGCACTGCTGTGAGGGACGGTCTGAATTTAGTCAGTATTCCCTGTCTGCTCCCTCGCTTTCTGGAATGGGATTTGACGTTGAGGTAGTCGGTGGGAAAGTTTGAAAGGTTGATTGGCCTCCTGGTGAAGATGTTGCACTTGGTGCAGCAGAAGTTTTTGAGGCATGAGAGGCTTAGGACAGAAGTCACATTTTAGGAAGATTAAAACTGATTTCGAGATGCACTGGAAAGACAGACTAGACAGGATCTCGGCAGGCTGGGATGAGAGTCTGGGCTGGGGCTGGGCGGAGGCTGTGGGGCTGGGTATAGGACATGTGATGTCTTTTGCTGTGGAATCCCGTTGATTATAAGCACATTTCTCTTACAAGCAATGTGTTTCCCAGAAAACTGCCCTGATGATGATATAATTTTAAAAACTGAGCATGTATTGAACCCCTACAAATTCCAACATTGTGCTACGTACTTTACAATTGTTGATCCGTTACATCCATTTTATAGCTCAGGAATTGAGATGTTATAATGTGCCCGGTATCACATGATAAATGAGGGGTAGAGTTGGGCCTTGAACGCAGATGTGAGCAATTACAGAATTAAAACCTTAAGTGTAAGAATTATGTTTTATTTAATGTCTTGTTTATAGAGTTTATTTTATGAAGTATTAAGGAGATTAAAGACAATGTCACTGAAGTTTGAAATTCGGTGGTAGGAGGAGAAATCTGTTCCAATTTTAAAAACCAAACATGTTTTCTGTTGTAGGTACTCATGTAATGGAAGGCTCTGGAAGAATGGTGGTTACTGCTGTGGGTGTAAATTCTCAAACTGGAATTATCTTTACCTTACTTGGAGCTGGAGGGGAAGAGGAAGAGAAGAAAGATGAGAAGAAAAAGGAAAAGAAAAGTAAGAGTGGAAGTGTGCTATAAGAATTGGTATTTGGAAATACGGCAACTAAGTTGTAAGAACTGGTCCAAAACATACACTTTCATGGGATTTGATATGGAAAATTTTACAAAAAGTTACAATATCACTCAATATCATACTTTCAAGTAGTAGAATTACTGGAGGGAAAGTTTTTCTTTTAGATTAAAATAGTCCATGAAGGGCTTTTAGTAAATGCATCAGTCCCCTTTACCATGGATAAATTTATCATCTCCTTGAACTTTCCCATTGCCTTTATTCTGTTTACTCTCTAGTTTTAGAATCTTTCTGCCATCTGACCAGAAAAATGAATTAAACTCTTGATTCCTATTTGCTCATTTTTTCTGCTACTTTTGTAGTAGCTTGTGTGTGTGTGTGTGTGTGTGTGTGTGTGCGCGCGTGCGCGCGTGTGCCAGCCTTATGACATTTTGTTCTCATTGAGCTATTGATCTTTTTCAAGTTTTCTACTTTGCATATTTTTCAGTCTGTACTTATGTAGTTGGTTTTTGGATATAAGACCAAGACTTCACTTTGATACCTATTATGTTTGTCGTGTTATATTCACTTCATCATTAGAAATGAAGATGTTGCCCAGCTGGTGTGGCTCGGTGGTTGAGTGTTGACCCATGTACCAGGAGGTCACTAGTTCAATTCCTGGTCAGGTCACATGCCCAGGTTGTGGGCCCTATCCCCAGTGGGGGGCATGCAGGAAGTAGCCAATCGATGCTCTCTCATCAATATTCCTATCTCTCTCTCCCTCTCCCTTCCTCTCTCTCTAAAATCAATAAAGGAAAAAAATTTTTGAAAAAAGAAAAGAAATGAAGATCTTTATTTTGATCCATTGTATCTGCTGTCCCTCCAAGTAATCTATCATCAGCAAACTTGATGACCATAGTTCATCTACCGAGGGTCTTAGAAGAATGCCATCATACAAAGTCCTCCCTCCCTGCTTCTGTGTCTGTTCTATCACACTTTCCTTCCACTCAGGATCACTTCGAAGTTTTTTCCTTTTAAGTTTGACAGCAGTTTACTGTGGCTTAACCACTTAGATTTATTTAATTTTGCTTAGAGTAGTAAGCCCATATTTCTCTCTCACACGTAAGTGTTTTGAGATCTTCTAAAATAATTGTTTTGCTAAAATCTTGGTTTGTTCAAACTACAGTGGAGTTTTAAATATTTAGTTGTTTTGTTCTTTGGGTTTTATATAGCTGTGAAATCTTATTTTCAAACAAAAATGTGTTTGAAGAGTTCTTGCTGTGAACGAGGGTAGCAAGCTCCACATTCTAGGTTTTTCCTGCCCCTCTCCACAGCCCTCCCATGTGCCTCCTTAGGTTCCTTAAGGAAGAGTGGAAGGCAATTTGAAAACCAGTAGTAATGATACCATTTATTGAATGCTTTATGTGCATTATTATCTCTTTAAACTGGGTTATGGAGGTCATGTAACTTGCTCCAGGTCAAAGATCTAATAAGTTGCAGATCAGACCCACTTGTCTGGCTCAAGAGTCTGTGCTCTGAACCATACATTGTGCTGCCTCCTAATTTATAGGAGTCTAGTCAAGGGGCCCTATTAAGAAAGAGGGCAGTTCTCATCATGACTTTGTTCTTATTGACTTCACAGTGTCTTTTCTACTAAGCACCCTTTTTTATATATTATACTCCTGTTTTCTGAATCCAGTCAAGGCTATTCCAAGGAATTAATTAACTCATTGTCCACCATTTTTTATTCTTGGGGCTGGGGTTGTTTTATTTTTGTAATAGAACCACCATTTTTTATATCTGTAGACTTCCAGCCCCCCCTCAAAGTTACAAGCAGTCCAGGTAAGGTACCCTGTCCAGTTCCCCTAGTAGTCTGGAGTGTGGCTCTCTCATCTCTCTCCAGACTCGAGGTCATTGAAAGTATCTAGGTGTTCTCTTGCTATCTCCTCATTTATCTTGAGCCTCTGTTCCATCTTGCCTATACTTATTCCACGTTTTCCAGTTTGAAGATAGTTCTCCTTGATAGAGAAGTTGGAAGAAAAATAGCCTGAGTGATTCCACTTCCTCTTTCTCATTTATCCTGATGTTATCCTGCCTACTTCCAGTGACCCTTTCCCTCTTTGATGACTTTATTGCTTCAGACATCTTCATATTTCTCTTTTCTTCAAATCTAAGGCAACTATTAGACTATCTCAACTGATAGTACATCCCCATTCTAGTTTTACTTACTTGCCTCCGCTCTCTTGTATACATAATGTTTTTGTTCTCATTCTCATCAAAGCTCTCCTGCTTATTATGTTTCTGTGGCATTTTTCCCTCCCTCTCTACCCTTGTCCTTTCTACTTTCTTAGGATTATATCTGTATTTAGTTTGGAAACCTCTTGTATTATATTTGGGTTTATTACAGTGTAAAAGAGTAAAGTCTTATGGAGAAAACAAACAAGTACAGATGCCAAAATTATGTTAGAGATTATGTTAGAGTATACCTCTATGGTTAAGACTCAGGGAGTGATTGACCCAGTAGGTCATTACAAGCAGATGCTTTCTAATCTGTGCACACACTCATACCATTGTGTAACAATGCTATTACAGAAATGTGAACCACTTTTGCATAATTTAGCATGGCTATATTCATTTTTTTGGAAAGCTTTAATTCTCATTTTGTTCCTACAGATAAGAAACAAGATGGAGCTATTGAGAATCGCAACAAAGGTAAATTATGAGTTAAAAGTACAGTTAGCTTCTTCTTGTTATATCTAAAAATATGTCTACTGTGTACTGTAGTCTTCCAAACGTACAAGATACATGTAGCAGGGAAAACCAACAATTTATGTTAACTTGGGTTCAACTCTCTTCCTGTTAGTGCCTTAGTCATGCTGCTTTTACAACGTTAAGAATTTAATTGTGACTTGTGGTAGTAAGTGTAGAAAAATCCAGATGTAGGTGTCTTTCAACTTAAACATTTTGGGTATTATAACATGGGTTACTGTATCATTACTAGCAAAAAATGCATAGGAAACAAAACAGATAACAAATATTTTTGCATCTGTTTAAGAGTCTGTACACTGTGTAAGGTGCTGCATAATATTCTGCATTCTGGTCACAAAGTATATGGAAAGAGCTTGTGATGTTTGGAATAGGTCTCATTACCTAACACAGCACAGGGGAAGAGAAGTGATTTGGTATTCAGTTCTTAGTTTAAGGAGCCTGTATTTCTTCCTATGCCTCATCCATATTCCGTAGCACAATATTCTCAAATCTGGTATAACCAAGTTTCACTGTTGTCTTATTTTCTCTGGGTACACACACACACACACAGCTGAATGTTTAATTCTTTTTTTGTTTTTAAAAGAAAACCGATTTTTATCAAGATGTGCTTCAAAATGTCAAGTTGTGTGTGCCTTTAAAATGTAATGAAATTCCATTTGCTCTTAATGTAGCAAAAGCCCAGGATGGCGCAGCCATGGAAATGCAGCCTTTGAAGAGTGAAGATGGTGGTGACGGTGATGAAAAAGACAAAAAGAAAGCAAATTTGCCAAAAAAGGAAAAATCTGTTTTACAAGGGAAACTTACAAAGCTGGCTGTTCAGATTGGCAAAGCAGGTATGATATATGAAGGAAAATAAAGTGTCTTGTTTTAAAATGCACTAACTTCCTGCTTAAAAATTATCTTCTGACATACTTAAGGCTGGAAAATCGTAGCTTTGTGAGTGGAAGGGAAGTTAAAAATATCAGACTTCTCCACAATGTACCAGGCCTTTTGCATTATTATAGCTCCTCATCATTGCAGCTTTTAGAGGTTGTTATCCCCATGTTACACCGAGGGCCATGTCCTCTGTCAACTAGCTAATAGGAGGTCAAGGTAGGATTAGCACCTGTCTGCCCAGTTCACAGGCCCATGCTCTCATCTCTGAATATCTGGGAGCAATTGTAGAGGGCACAGAGTTTGCTCCATGCCGATTACCCAACAACATTTTAATAAAAAGTTTTACCACACATTTTGTTCATCTTTCCACTATTTATGAAAAATTTAAGTATGGGGTTTTCTAAAAGTTATAGTTTAGTTGATTAAATAGTTTAGAGCATCATCCTGGTTAGGCTGAAATTACTCAGTTGTTGTTATCACTAGAAAACACATGTTGAGAGAAGCACTGTGTTTAAAAAAAAAAAGCTCTTAGATGAAAACAGAGCCCTCCAGCAGTATCATCTTTGTTAATCTGTTAGTCTATGTGTATTATTAAAATCACTTAAATTGCATTATCCTACTACTTCCTAAGAATATGTTGGAAAAAGTTAAGTTTTTGCTTCTGTCCTCAAGAAGCTTTTTATCTAATACTTTGTAACAAATAAGGCAGATAATGATGCTGACTGTGGTGTTGGGGATAGGGGTGGATTTAAGATAGTGATGGTGTTTAGTAAGCATTGGATTGGGTTATTAGACCCAGATATGTGGACTTGCCTTAATTTTTTTTATTTTATGTTTTCCATCACCATGTATCCCCCCCCTCCCTATGATCACCACACTAATGTCCATGCCCATGAGTTCTCCCCCCCCCCCTCCAGTCAGTGCTGTCTACCTGTTCTCGGAGTTAATAGCCCACAACATAGCTAAATGATTCATAATTAACTCTTGTTTTTCTAAGTTAATGCAGTAGTAAGGATAGACTGAAAAAAATAACTCAGATAATTCTTTTTTATAAAAAAGGTAGGGTTGAATATTTAATTTCAAGTCACCTCATTCATCAGATTCTTATTGGATTCTCTCAGCAACAGGTAAGTTACCAACATGTAAAGCACCAGTTTATGCTAAACTTTTGGTAATTTCTTGTCATTGCCTGTTATTTTGTCTCCGCTTTAGTAGAAGACTGAAGATACATTTAAGTCTAGGAAAGAATCATAAATACTTTTCTCCTAGTTCTCCTGGGGACAGGGCTATACTTGGAAGCAAAAATTAAGTATGACAGTGTCAAGTGCAAATAAGGAGGTGTTAACAGTTTCCCAGAGAAATTAAAATAAGGATTACCAAACCAGTTACAATTCTTCCAGTGGCCAGTTTGTAACTGACAATGAGCAGTGCCTGGAATATTTAAATAATTACATTTTTCTTTTCTTTGTATACTGAAAGGTTTGTTGATGTCTGCCATCACAGTTATCATTCTAGTATTATATTTTGTAATTGATACATTCTGGGTTCACAAGAGACCGTGGCTTGCTGAGTGCACACCGATTTACATACAGTATTTTGTGAAGTTCTTCATTATTGGAGTCACGGTTTTAGTGGTGGCCGTGCCAGAAGGTCTTCCACTTGCAGTCACTATCTCACTGGCCTACTCAGTCAAGGTAAGTAGAAATGGTTGGAGGTGTACGAAGGTGTAAGCCCTGGCTGGTATAGAAAATGCACGTCTGGTTACTCTTGTTTCTGACTCTGAAAGGAAGAGAATTTCATAAATTTACACTTGTTTGCTTTAGAAATGCTGCCATTGATCCCCTCTCTTTCCGCCAGTTGAAGGTTCCTGTGCACGGAGACCTGCACGCTCCTTGGAGGACAGCCATACAACTGAGTACAGCCCTGATAGGCAGACTGTGGCTTAATTTTCGTTCTGTGGTAGTTATGTTGTCCAGTCATGTCCCCTCCTTTTTCTCATATGAATAAGATTAAAAATGGCATTTACTTGTGGTATAAGGGCAAAGGGAGGGTTCATTCCAGCCCAGCTTTCTGAAGCCTCCTTGTTTCCCCTCTCCTACTCCCATTACCTCAGAGTCTAGCCTTCAGAAGGTAGGCAGACTCAAGTTCCTAAAAAGGTAATTAAGGCCCTGGCAGGTTTGGCTCAGTGGTTAGAGCGTTAGCCTGTGGTCCGGAGAGACCAGGGTTCGGTTCCCGCTAAGGGCACGTACTTCGGTTGCAGTTTGTCCCCGGCCCTGGTTGGTCGTGCTGGTGGCAACCAGTCGATGTGTCCCTTTCACGTCAATGTTTCTCTCTCTCTCTCTCTCTCTCTCTCTCTCTCTCTCTCTCTCTCTCTCTCTCTTTCTCTCTCTCTCTCTCTCTCCTTTCCACTCTATCAGAAAAATGTCCTCAGGTGAGGATTAAAAAACAAACAAAACAAAAGGTAATTAAGATCACATTATTTCAGTGGCTTTTCATGACACTAAGAATAAAACCCCAGGTCCTTCCCAGAAGGAATGTGGCCCCTGCTCACCTCCTGGTGCTGATCGCCACCCTCTTTTCCCCTTTCTTTCTATCCCTAGTCTCCCTGTTTCAGGGCCCACTGGTTCCGCCGAATCACCTGCCCTCTTCCTCTATTCAGGTCTCTTCAGATGTCACCTTCTCTGCCTACTCAGTTCACAGTGGCTCAGTCCTCCTTGTTTTCCAAGGAGAATGCTAAAATAATGAGCTTTGATGGCTTTGCTAACTGCTGTTTACCTAAAGTAATAATCTGGTTGAAGAGTATGACTTTTTCTCATTTTTGTACTTTATATGGAAAGGAGGATTTTAGCGGTTCAGCTTGGACAATTTTGATATTTCTTTCAAAATGGCTTCTCAAGTAAAATTAAACTTACTGGGAGAATGCTGCTCTTGTCAATTTCTGTTGTTAATTAGCCATTCTCCTTAAGTAGCATTGAAGACATTGAGCGATATGAAGTAATTAGTCATAGTTTCTGTTCTAGCGCTCTTGTCTGCAGTATTCCCAAGTATTTTACAATAGACTTGCCATGATAAGAATATTTTTTGATGACTGTTTGAGGTGGGTTTTTTTTCCCCCAGACATTTAACATCTTGTGTTGCAAAAATAAAATGGTTGGTAAATGTATCCAGGTGATGATGAAATACAGTGTAATTGTCTATCCTTTTATAATGTTTTAAGGTAATTGTAAATATTTGGGGTAAACATTTTAGATACATTGATCAGTCATTTTACCATTACTGTCATTAGTTCATTTTGAATAGTCATTAATGATACTAATTTTTAATTCATCAAAAAGATATAAACAGGATTGATTTATGTTCCTTCAATAGAAAATGGGAGCATTTTAACTACTGTTCTTTAAGCTTTTATTAAATGTTTAGCTTAAATGTTACCAACTACTGTTCTTTCACTGAGGTGTAGTCTTTATGGTTCCTCTGTTAGTGCTTTGCAAAATTGAACACATTTTGTGTACTATATATAGAAAGAACTTCATTTTTTTTAATCTTTAATATTAACTCAGATCACAAGTAATTTGGGAGGTACACCTTTCTTCCCTATATTTATTTCTTTAGGGAACCAGTTTTTTTCCAATTTCTTGCATATTAGTAGTAAAAAAAAAAACTCTTATTTTTAACCTATTCCACATATATTTTGAGAATTAATTATCAAGTATATTAACCTAATTGCCTTTTGAGGCTACTGTAAAGACTCTCAATTTTTTTTTAGAAACTATCTTTTTTGTTCTTGTAAATAAGAGAAAGAAATGATCCAAAGGGTGAGAATTCCAACTGCATCAGTATATGGAAAAGATAAAAATGACTCATTTTGGTTTGTTAACTCAATCTATCAGAGTCAAAAAAAAAAAATCAAGCAACTACATGTCCACAACCTATACATTTTAATTGAGATAAGCTACTTTTCCCTTGGTGATTGATAGAAGAATCTTTTCCTTTCTACTTTATAAAGAGACTTAATCTTTAAATGTAATACACTCTTACATTGCTCTAAACACATCTGTACTTAGGAGTATAGATTGTCGTTGCTCTTGTAATATAAGGTCACTTCACAGAAGCTGTCGGAAGCTGCATAGAGTCAATGTGATTTGCAGACGAGTGCAGGTATCTGTTTCATTTACTAGATTATGTTATGCAATGGTCAGATTATTGAAACCTCAGAAAGCTTATTTGAATAGGTCAAATATACTAAAATTCTTCCAGCATTAATTTTTTTTTTATACTTTGTATCTGTATATAGCTGGGAGTTTCATTCTGATTTTAAAGCAGTTTATAATTTTACTGTAATGAGGCTATTGGTTTTATATGTAGCTTAACGAGATTTCTTTTGTCACTGTAGAAAATGATGAAAGATAATAACTTGGTAAGGCATCTGGATGCTTGTGAAACCATGGGAAATGCCACAGCCATTTGCTCTGATAAAACAGGAACATTGACAATGAACAGAATGACAGTTGTTCAAGCTTACATAAATGAAAAACACTATAAAAAGGTCCCTGAACCAGAAGCTATTCCACCAAATATCTTGTCCTATCTTGTAACAGGAATTTCTGTGAATTGTGCTTATACATCAAAAATACTGGTAGGTGTCTTTAATAAATTATACATAAAAAATGATTTTTTAATTTGCAATTAAATAGTATATAAGCTCTTTAGACCTACCTTTGCTGCATATAAATTGAAGAACTGAATTGTGTTGTTTTTAAAAGGCATATATCAATATAATGTAAATAAGTTTTTTTGATACAGTTTGTGTTGTAAGATCTGTTGGTCAACATATACATTTATTTACTTGTAATTTTCTTCTCCTATATTTTTAATTTCCTATATTTAGAAATTCTCAAGCCTTAGAACCAGAACAAGTTCTTAATTTTAATTTTTATTAAGCGCATTTTGTGAAGGAGCAGGCTCTCTTACTTTTGTAGACAAAAATAAAAAAGACTTTTATAGAAAGTCAACTCTCAGTTTTCTAGAGAAAATTTTGAAGCCAGATTGCAATTTAAAACAATGTCTTCTAAATGTTTGCTTTAAGTTCTTTTTGATTTCTTAGTAGATGCTACCTATAAGGTGATGCTTAGAACTTTTGAAACTAACTCAATAAAGTAGTTCTAAACTTGCGCTACCTTAGAGCAAAATATTTTCAGCTTCGTAAATGTCTTATTTATAACATAAAACGTGGAATTATTTTACTTGATATGTGTTCTAGTGATTTATAAATAAAGACTTAGAGCAAAATTAATATTGCAAGTTGTTCAATGAAAATATGCATGATTGGATTATTGGGCTGGAAAGTAATGCAGATCTTAGTTCTAGCTTTGCCTCTTACTAGCAGAAAGTCTGAGCTTCACTTTCTTTAATTTTTAAGTAAAGATGGTCACATCTGCCCTTAATACTGTGGTAATGATTATGTGACGTGAAAATACAATGAAAAAATAAAGCTTATGTTATATTTAAGGCAATAGTGCTTCTTTATTTTAATGCATACACTTTTATTTTAAGCCATAAAAATTAGTAAAGTAGATTTAATTTTGAATTATTTAATATAAATGTTGAGTGAAAACAGGAAGAAAAAAGGAAAGAAGTTAGCCCGACCGGTGTGGCTCCGTGGTTGAGCCCATGCACTAAGAGGTCGCCGGTTCAATTCCCGGTCTGGACACATGCCCAGGTTGTGGGCCCGATCCCCAGTGGGGGGCAAACAGGAGATGGCCAGTCAATGTTCTCTCTCATCAGTTTTTTTGTCTCTCTCTCCCTCTCCCTTCCTCTCTCTCTCAAATTAATAAAGAAAAATTTTTTTGAAAAAGAGAGAAGTTCAAGTCAAGTTCCACTACATGTCAGGAACCAGCTTGAAACTTCACATGTCTTATCTAATTCTTGGGTTATAAGTGCTCCTGTTTTTCAGATGCTGAAGCCAAGGACCACAGCCACTGGGTAACTTGCCAGAAGTCCACATAGTTAGTACCTGGCAGGGCTGAGACTGAGCCCCACGTTCGTTCTTGTCCCAAAGCTCCTTTCCACCTCCCCCCTTCGCGCCACTCTCTGAATCCCTGTTAGTGGAGGTTTCCTGTGTAATTTTGTTTTTAATCGTCACATTCTGTTTTATGTAATAAATTAAACTGTGGTAGAGAAACAAGATGATAAGCTAGCTTCTGAACCTTTTTCTCTTATAGCCACCAGAGAAAGAGGGTGGATTACCTCGTCATGTTGGTAATAAAACTGAATGTGCCTTGTTGGGACTTCTTTTGGATTTAAAACGGGATTATCAGGATGTTAGAAATGAAATACCAGAAGAAGCACTGTACAAAGTCTACACCTTCAATTCTGTTAGGAAGTCCATGAGTACTGTCCTGAAAAATTCAGATGGAAGTTATCGAATATTCAGCAAGGGTGCATCTGAGATAATTCTGAAAAAGTAAGAGTAAAATGCTTAGATGAATAAGCTGCTAACTACAGTTGCTTTATGGAATACCTACTGTGTTGTTATTGTTGCTATTTTCTTGTTTGTGACTATGACGGTATTTGATGGCACCTCAGAGCCTTTTAATATATTTTCATAGTATCCAGATATTTGCCCATGGTATTCTGCCATTTTTATACTCCAGTTTCTTTTATTTCTTAGTATTTTGCTACAAGGAAAATAAGCCTATTACATTCAATGTGATAGATTTAATAAAGTAAATCTTGATATTTGTTTTTAGACATGTTGATTTCATGGTTATATAGGATCATGAAAAATAAGCCTCCTGTAAAAACTTTTTGTGTTCAACACTGAATTATAAACAAACAAAAAAAATGTGGTGAATGAATTATAGTTTAGTTTTTAAAAATAGCAAAGCATTAAAACTAGATCTTGAGAATTCTCTTTTTATATTCGAGTGAGGTTTTAATCATATTTATGCTGCCATGGTGTCATATTTAAATATCTCCTTTCATTTTGAATGGTAATCTTTCTTTTTTACTGTCCTTATACAGACAGGTAGCTTCAATTTTACTATTAAATGTTTATCTATAATTTCTCTAATGTTTATGTGCTATTACAGGTATTGAAATTATTTTTGGTTTCTTTAATTACAGTAGAGAACTTTAAAAAAATTAAGAGCAATTTTGGAAATATAGAACTTGAAATCATGATTTTTAAAATCTTTCTACTTTTAATTTGCTTTCAAATGGACTATAATCAGTGTCATCTTAATGAATGCTTGACAGATTGTGGTCTAATAGGCTTAAGAGACAAGTATAAAATTAACGATAAGGCAGTTTGGGTCAAGTTTTAGGATGGAAGGTTTTACTGTGAAGGCTGAAGCATTTGAGGTAGGATTTGGTTTGAGAGCGTCAGGGTGAAAGGAGACACCCAGCGGGGAGGTGGTGTGCAGGCTGTAGCAGGGGAACAGCGGTGGTGGGTTCAGGTGAGAGGTCGGCTGCCCTGGCCCAACAGCCCTAGGCTCTCCCCCCTTCCGTGGGCTCGGTTATCTGATTTCACTGGAAGGTGAGAGATTTGCATCCATGGCCTGCTGGGTAGCAGATAGAAGGTACAGGGGAGATTTTTTTTTACATCAAGAACCAATCAGGTTTTGATGCTTTTCTTCAACTCACTAGCTTTGGGATTTTAGGCAAATTCTTTCCTTAGCTTTCATTTTTCTCCAATGAAAAAAAGGGTGATAACCACCAAGTCTGGTGACAGTGAAATAAAATAATGCATATAGAACGTAGCATGGAGTCTGATACATATAATAAGTATATAGTAAGTCGAGGCTCTTAAATGTTAGGCTGAGCAATTAAAACTTAGTTAAGTCAGCCAGATAGTGTGACTGAAGTATTTTTTTCATCAGATAGTGAAATGATCAAAGCTGTGGTTGAAGATAATTCTTGCACCAGGAAATGAGGTGGGTTGGAGGGAAGAAGGGTGAACTGGAGGCAGGTATCAGAAGGTTATTATAATACATAACTCTAGCTCAAAGTAAGAGCCAGAAGTCACTAGCAGGGGGAAATGAAGGAGAGACACCATTCACAAGACAAATATATAGGCCTTAGGAGGTAGTATTACATAGGTGAGGAAAAAGTATTCAGGTGAGATTTGAGATTTATAGCAGGTCTTTGAATAACATTGTTTCCTTCAACATCATTCATTATAATGTTGATGAAATGCCGTAGGAGCTTAATCATTCTTTTTTATCAATTAGCCTATGGTAAAATTGGTTTTGTTACACATTGTTTCACTTAAAGTCTCAGAGCCTATCGGTGGTATTACTGTACATTGAGCATTTACTGTACATAAAAACAATTGGGATAATGTTGATGTCTGTTAGATGGGCAGTGAGGAGGCATGTTTAGTCTTCCATGCAGTCAGGTTATGATACTGGTACAGCTTCTGAGTGGGACTCTGCAGGAGTGAAGGAGAGCTTTGGAAAACAAAACAGCAAATGTAAATTTGGGAATCACATGCCTAGAAGCAGGAGGAGGTAGCATCACTAAGGGAGAGGAGTATAGAGAGGCTGTGTGAAAATAAACTTTCAATATGGACATCTACAGTGTAACTTTTATTTACCACATAATTAAAAGGTTGTTAGTGTCACTGACAATAAAACTATTTTGGCATTATTTGTCATAGGATGCTTGTTTTAACGATAAGTTATTTTTTTTTCTTCTTTCATGGTTAAAACAGTATAGATGATGAAACAAGGTCTCAGGTAAGGGGTTGATTGAACTTGGCTTTTTATTGTAAAAGAAGAAAATGTTTGTGAATTTTGTGTTAATCATTATTAGCGGCTAACTGTGTACCAAAATGGGTAGGTGCAGTTTATTCTCCTCTGCCACGAACTCTGCAGTTCCAAAAGGAAAGTTTAGATAGTATCTAGCGTAACCGAAAAAGTAGAGAGCTATCAAAAGAGAACTATAAAGATTAGAACTGTCTCTTTTATAAAGGGGAGCATGGAAAATGAACATGATTTAAGTCTGTAAAAATACAGCCTGTGTAATTCTCTAAGTTCCAGATATCAGATCCCATGATTTCTAGCCCTTCCAGTTCACTTAAATGGCATTAACCATTATTTTTGTTAATTATTGATGTTTGGATTCAACATTTCCTTTTAGGTGTTTCAAAATCTTGAGTGCTAATGGTGAGGCAAAAGTATTCAGACCAAGGGACCGTGATGATATTATAAAAACTGTGATTGAACCGATGGCATCAGATGGCTTGAGAACCATATGTCTTGCATTCAGAGATTTCCCAGCAGGAGAACCAGAACCAGAGTGGGATAATGAAAATGATATTGTCACCGGCCTTACATGCATTGCTGTTGTGGGGATTGAAGATCCAGTGAGACCTGAGGTGGTGAAACCTTCTGTGTTCTGCATGTGCAGAATCTCTCAACTATAGAGGACCTAGGCACGAACTGTGACCCCTTTTCTAATAAACTTCTTAGGTTTATGATTTTATTTTTTTTCTATGTGAATCCAAGATAAGTGAAACAATAGTGCTTGTGATGCAGTACTGTTTATAGTTTATCTTCCTTTTGTTTTTTTAACTATTCATAGTTTAGATGGCTTCTCTTTGCGATGTTTATAGCGCCATAACCTAGCATAGTGCCTTCAACTGAGTAGGTTTTTCAGTTTATATTTATAGTAAATTAACTAACAGATGCCATGAAGTTATTTGTTTTCAGTCTCTAGATCAGCATTGTCCACTCTGTGATGATAGAAATGTTCTATGTATTATTCAGTTCAGTAGCCACTGGCCACATGTGACTACTGAGTTCTTTATGTGCGGCTAATACACTGAAAGACTGAATTTTAAAATTTTGAGATAAATTTAAATAAATTTTCTACTATATTGGATAGCATGTAGCTCTAAACTTAGCTTTTCTTCTTTACATCTTTTTTTTTTTTTTTTTTTTTTTTTTTTAAGTTTATTGAGCAGTTACTGTGTCCAGGCACTGTACTAGGGTACCAGAGACATAGAGAGTTTTGAGATCAGTTCTCTGGCCTTGAGTCACTGTTCTGAGTGAGGATGGAAAACATATGAGAATTATAATCCAGGATGTTGGTACATGGTTAGATATATAGAGAGCATGCTATATGGTCACAGAGCATGAGCCCCCAACCTAGCCTAAAGTAATAGCATCTTTTGAGTTCTTACTGTGTGCCAGATACTGTACCAAGTGCTTGACATGTATTATTTCTTTTAATGTTCGCCTTTATGAATTATTATTACTTTCATTTGACAGATGAAAAAAAAAGTTAAGCTATGGAGACCTTTAGACCATAGAAGCTAGTGTGTTTAAATCCTGCCCCTTTTTAAACACATATGCTTAAAAGCACTATGCTGTATGAAGTACTGGAGTGGTCAAGTAAACTCCCTAGAGGTTAATTACCTGATCTGAGTCTTAAAGGATGAGGAGGTATTAAGCTAAAACAAGAGATAGCAGTAAGCACATTCTGAGCAAAGCGTCCGTGTGAGTGGAAAGGCAAAGACAGCTTTGTTCACCATGAGTTAACTGATTCAGCCCTGTTCACCATGAGTTAACTGATTCAGCCCTGTTCACCATGAGTTAACTGATTCAGCCCTGTTCACCATGAGTTAACTGACTCAGCCCCAGTGCGTGGGACCAGGCACTCTTAGAACTGAAACTACGTCAGTAAACAGGGCTGTCATGAAACTTCCGTTCTAGAGAAGTGAGATGACCAGAAAAATTCTAGATGTGCCAGTATAGAGACGTGGTCCCTGCCCTCCTAGGCCTCACGTTCTGGGTGGCCGGTGGGCGGGGTATGACATTAGTAAGACAGAGACACGTGTGGTAAGGGCTGTGAAGAAGCATGGGGGTGGAATACGTTAACAGGCCACACGAATCTGAGCTGAGGTCTAGGGGCTCACGTGAGCAGCATGTAGGTAGCAGGCAAATGGAACAAAACGCAGAGACCTGAAGATGTGAAAGTATTTCAGAGGTGGAAAGGAAGCCAGTGTGGCTCACTGTGGACACGAAGGGACAGATGAGTTTACCTCTGGCCTTCCTAGGCAATAAGGGTTCTGAATTTTATTCTAAAATTAAGGAAATTCAGGCTGGGAAGTGACATGATTCATGTTGTTAAAAATACTATTTTGAGTACTGGGTAAGAAATGAACTAGGAAGGGGTAGAAGCAGAGAAGCCAGTAAGATCTTTGCAGTGATTCCAGGCAAGAGATGACCATGGCTTAGAGCTACAGTGTGGCCAGGGAGAAGGAAAGAAAGGTATGATTTCAAAGTAAAGGGGGGTAGAGCCGATAGGAATGAGTAGGTTGGGGTTGGATACACTGTTTTTAACATTGTTGAGGTGTCTGAAACATCCAAATATATGTCAAGTAGTCATTTGGACATAGGAGCCTGAAAGTGGTCGAGGACGAAGCATTCACATTTGAGGTTAAAGGAAATCTGAGGCAAGTATGTAGCTAACAAGGGTTTAATAAGACAGCCATCCCTCCACAATTGGACATCTGGAAGAGCGGGAATCAGTCTCTGACTTGCATAACTGGGTGAGTGGGAAATGGTAATAAGAGAATCAGAAGCAGCAGCATTTTGAGAGAAAAAGATAAATTCAGTTTTGGTTTTTGGAGTTTCAAATGCTGATGAAATATCAAAGTGGATAATTTTTGCCAGCATTGGTCTGAGGAAAACCATTCATAGTTTTAGACGTTGATGTGTGGCTCAAATCTTATTTAAATATAATATTAAATCAGGATGTCTAAAGCTTTTGTCCTTTGGAAAATGTGTGACTGTTACTGTGTTCTTGGCATTGAGGTTCATGGAGAGTTTTATCTTTTTTAAACATGAAGTGGCACTTAATTTTTTCAGTATCACAAGGTGGGTACTTGTAGACTAAAATGAGACAGTGTGATGTGAAACGGCTTTCTCTGAGTAATTCTGCACTACACAGTTCTGACGTGAGAATCTTGATTAATTAGATCCAGCTTTATAACATATGTATAAGTACTTGAACAAGGTAGTTAGCTTCTCCAGTTTCTTACCTGTAAAAGTAAAGGTAGTGTGAACTTTAGGTGGAAGTATTTGGTGGTTAGTGGGCAATTAATGTTAGTTTGCCATTCTGAAATACTGTTTGCCACATACTTTTAAACTCGGACCAGTTGCGCAGATGGACACATTTGGGTTACATTTTATCTCAAATGAAACATCAGAATATATTACATTTATACAGCAGACCAGTGTTTTCAAAATCAAATACTGGTGTATTTATATTTTTAATAATCTGGGCAGGCTCTGTCTGTCCTTCCACTCACCTGTCACCAGCCCTAGCGTGCTGTCTGTCATTCAGTCAGTATTAACATGAATGCAAATGGTGTTTCTTTCCATTGATTTGAATGACTAAGACTTGACTGGATGGAGGGATATACTTTTATATTGTAAATCCTAAAACTTACAGACACATACTTGTGTTGTGAGTAATTAAATTACACACGTTTTAAGACACAATGGTACCCGTGGTACCCTGTCTAGAATATACTCCTCCTTGGAAAATACCTAAGGCTGACTGTATTCCCAAAGATGACTAATTCAGTAGTTCAACAAATACTAAGCTCGTCTGATAAGCCAGGCACTTGTTTGTTAAGTGAATGAAAGGCATTGTACTAGGCATTGGTGATGCAGATATGAGAAGGTGTGGGTTCTATCCTTAAAAAGCTTGTTGATTTGCTGAGCACTTAGGTAAACAAATAACTATAATATGATATAATGAGCTATAACAGAGATATGTATAATACAGTTCTGTCTGGGTAGGTTATAGAAGCTCCCGGACACTTAAACTGTATTTACAGTAGAAGTCATAAACAGCATACAGGCCAAATTAAGTCTTCAGTCACATGTGTGTGTTTAAAACGTTAAACATTAAGAGAACACACACAAATCTGGCTTTTTGCTTTCTCTTAAAATGGTAGGTTTTGTCAACATTGTGCGCTCATTTCCCCCACGGTAAAAACGTAGAGCTGAGTAGCTTTTAACTGGCGCTCATCTTGGAGGTGGTCCCTTTCAGCGTTGTTTCCCGCTTCATGTTGCCTGCATTTGCGTGTTCATCCTTTGCTCTGGTAGGGTCATTGTGGATGTTCTGGGCAGTGAAGAGCAGGAAAGGTCTAGGCAAAGGGAATTTCAGAAACAGGCACAGAAATAATATGTAGATCATTTATCTATCAAGTTACATAATAGAAAATTTTAGATAGCTTTAGAAAAGTACTCTGAGGCTCGAATATAATACTCTGAGAACTTTATGGTTTATAACAGTAGGGGAGTCATCATATATTTCTAAGAAAGTGTGCACCCTTCTGTCAAGTAGATCAGATGTTTTAAAGAAGGAACAAACATAAAGATGGATATGAATTAAAAAGTTATTGCAATAGCTCAGGCACCAGGCAGGAGAGATTAGGTAAAATCTACAGCCCTTCAGGGTGTATAGGGTAAGGGAGAAGGAAGAGGTCAGATAGCCCTTAGGTTTCTGTTAGATAATAGGTTTGGAAAACAAAATTTGGACACCCAAGTTTTGATACCCACTTTCCTCGTGAACTATGAATCCAGCTCTCACAATGAGATGGGGGAAAGATAGACGGGGAAGTTACTAGCACCTCAATAGCGGTTGAAGGTTCGAGAGTAGGTGAGCTACCCACAACCCTAAAGAACCCCAACATTTACTCTGGTGTTGTATGGACAGCCACTAAAACCAGAAAGGTAGGAGCCGTCCAGAGAAGACTTTCCTGATCATTGCCAGGTGCTTTAAAAAGCCTTTAGTAAATAAATAATGCAAACAGATGAAGTTGGATGACAACTGAAAGTGGAGTCTGAAGTAGGACTGTGGCAATGGAAGAGGAAAAGGGATTATTGAAATAATTCAAGAAATATTGAATATTGAGATGAAATTAAAGTTGTCATTTATAGGACTATAAGATAATGCATTCAGTGGGATTTTCCCTATGGAAATTTTGTGTTGTAATACGGATTTTTTTTTTTTTAATGTAAACCAGGTACCAGATGCAATAAAGAAATGTCAGAAGGCTGGAATTACTGTGCGGATGGTCACTGGTGATAATATCAATACTGCTCGGGCTATTGCCAGCAAATGCGGTATTTTACATCCTGGGGAAGATTTCCTATGTATAGAAGGTAAAGATTTCAACAGAAGAATACGAAATGAAAAAGGAGAGGTAACGGTTTTTATTTTTTTAATATTTTTAATGTATTAGAAATTCCATTTGACAAATATATATTGAATATGTACTATGTGTTAGGCTTACATATGAGTAAATGCAGCCAACACCTCAACAAGCAAAACACAAGCATTTTAGGAAATAAAAGGTACAAATGTGTGTGAGTACTTTTTTTTCCCCTTAAATTTAAGCCAATTTCTGAAATACAGTTATGTGTAAGTGAGTAATAGGAGATGAGTTTGGTACGGTTGATGTGGAACATACTTTAGGGGACCCCAAACTCTCTGAGCTTTTCATGCTAAATTAAAGAGCTTTGGTTTTCACAGGCAGTGGGGAGATTTTTAAAATTTGATCTTATAATGATAAATATAGCAGTGCTTCTCAAAATTGAATATGCATCAGAGTTACCCAGAAGACTTTAAAACATGACAGGTAGGCCCCACCCCAGAGTATTTAATAAGATAAACCTGGGGCCTTCCCCAAAATGTGCATATCTATCAAGTTCCCAGGAATTGCTGGTGCTGCTAGTCACATTATGAGAACCACTGATGCATATTCTAGGTAACAAATTGGAGTTATGAAATTAAGTTTGGGCACATTTTAACTTTGACAAAAATTCACAGATTGAGCAAGAGCGGATAGACAAGATCTGGCCAAAGCTTCGAGTACTTGCAAGGTCATCTCCCACTGACAAACATACACTGGTTAAAGGTGAGTAGATTTTATTATTATTTCACAATTTCTTAATTGTGTTCTGCTTCCTGAAATAGTACTAGATGATGCATGCATGTTAGGTTGAGTCATAGATAGCATCTTTTCCAATAAAATCGAAGTGCATTTTCTTTTGATACCTTAGGTGAATGTGTTAATCTTCAGTGATTAAAACAGGATATTGCTCCTAATGTAACCTTTGCTTCTGGAGTTGCTCCTGCACAATATCTCAGCAGTTTCCATTCCTCTGTGTTTGCTTAATTATTTATTTTTAACCTTGAGTCTGTAAAACCAGCTCGCCCAGATATTCTGCAGAATCACCTTATTAATTAAAGGGAATGTTTTTACAGTCCAAATATTTACTTTTATTTTAGGTATAATTGACAGCACTGTCTCTGAACAACGTCAGGTTGTAGCAGTAACTGGTGATGGTACAAATGATGGTCCGGCACTAAAGAAAGCTGATGTTGGATTTGCAATGGTAGGAACTTACCTATTTAAGTATAAACTACTGGTTGGGTTTTTGTTGTTGTTTTTTACTAAATTTTAATTGCTTTTAGATACTGTCTCAAGATTAGTGTGAGGAATAATATGTAAGCCTACATTGATTTATAAGCTTAATTAGTTTGTACACTAACTTTATTTGATGCAGTGAAATCTGGCTGGAAGATGACATCTTTTGAACAGTTATAATAAAATCATACATTTACTTCGTATTCTGTAAATTATATAAGATGCATTTACTTCATATCTCATCTGAACCTTGCAACAGCCCCCCAGTATTAGACAAGCTTGGAACAGTTATATGTATTAAAGTTAAAAACATAATTGAGATCTTAAAAGCAACTGAAAATGTCTCCAAAGAGTAACTGAGTTGCATTTCATATTTAATCTACATCATCCTTTTTTATAGAAAAAAAGTATTTTTTTCACCATCATTCTCAGTTTAGATTTGATTGTTTAAAGCACTGGAAAAATAAATTATATCATTATTTTGTACTGGTGTTTTGGTACTATAGCTATAGTATAGTACTGGTGAAGCATTTATTATAACATGGGTATCATGAAATACATATGCTACATAAATGTTTAATGATTGAAATTATATTGTTTATATCTTTGAATCTATCAGTTTTTTCGTGTTGAAATTAGTCTTTGTACCCTCAGTACCATAGAAAATTTAAGTATTCTCTTCAATTTTATTTTTGGACAATACAGGTCCATAATAATAATTCTCAAATCCAAAAATCTGGAAACTGAAATTTCTTTCCTGAATTTGCAGCAGACTCATTTGACTGCAAAACTTATCCTGACCTGATGTGAGAATGTTATTTGTCCCACTTAATGTGAACATTCATAGCCGTTGTAGAGATATTAATGTGTTTTATGGGGTGCAAACACCCTCTGGGAGAATTTGTGATAGAAGTTATGTGCCTCGTTACCTTTTTAAAATACAAGAGGCTGAATTCTGAAACAGTCTGGCCCCAAAGGTTTCAGGTAAGAGAATATTTATGTGTACCAGCGTTTTTTTGCATAATTTGTCCTCCTGGTACTTTGAGGCTAAAGTCGGGTTTTCGCAGAACCACCACCATGGTGGCAGTCTTCCAGCAGGAGTGAGCGAAGTGGAAAAAGGAAGTAATATGATACGATAAAGTGCTCTCAGCCATTGGTTGTGAACCCAAAGATCTCGACTGTACCCTGTCTCAAACTTATTGCGGTTGGTGGGACATTGGAATGAACTTCTGGAGACTTGTGAAGAGAAGCTGAAGGGATAAGGAATATTTAAGTATTTATTTAAGTGCTGTTCTAAAAGGCTTTTTGGCAGAAGGCAAGTAGGATCATTCACTGCTGCTCTTGAGAATTTAGCAGGATTCATCTGGCCAGCTGACCAGGAAGGCATTTATATATAATGCATTTTAAAATTAAAAAAAAAATTTCTTCCCAAAACTTAAGTGTTTAAGGCAAATACTTAGGGCTTTAAATAAATACAGGTGGGCCCTGGCCGGTTTGGCACAGCGGTTAGAGCGTCCACCTGCGGTCCTGAGAGACCTGGGTTCGGTTCCCGCTAAGGGCATGTACCTCGGTTGCAGTTTGTCCCCGGCCCTGGTTGGTCGTGTGGGTGGCAGCCACTCGATGTGTCCCTTTCACATCGATGTTTCCCTCTCTCTCTCTTCCTCTCTCTCCCTCCCACTCTGTACAAAAAATGGAAAAATGTCCTCGGATGAGGATTAAAATAAATAAATAAATAAATAAATAAATAAATAAATAAATAAATAAATAAATAAATAAATAAATACAGGTGGATATAGTGATGTAAACAAAAACACAGTACAACAGCTGCTTTGTTTGATTTTTTTTTTTAAAGCCCTGGAAGTTTCAGGCCCCCTTTTCAGTGTATCAACCCCCTTTTTTAAAAGGTAGCACAACAGAAAAACCCCAAAATTTATTTTTAAAATAATTGCTTAGTGAAAAAATAATTGCTTAGTGGCTTGGATTTGAAAGCACTTGCTCAAGCTTGAATTTAACTTTGTTCAGTTCTTCAATTTCATATTTTAAAACTGAAGGGAAAAATTATATGTCTGGGGCTTTTATTAGATACCAACAAGAAATTGCTATTGATTAGTCCTTTCTAAACTTGTCTGTTGTTTTTGAGGCAGAAACAGCATTTTAGAACCCTATCTATATATTCTCTCTCTATATAGCTGTATCTATACATGGTTATATATATGGACATACACTATACGCATACAGTATATATTTAGCAAATTCAACATTAAAATAAACTTTACAAAAATATTTATGAAAGGACTGTAATGTGAGTACATCATTAGTTTGCAAAAAAAAATCTTATATTTTCCCATTTTTAGCCACTCCTCTTAGAATTTCTTTAGATACCAAGCCTCCACAGTACAATTAAAATATAATTGCTTTTTTTTCCCATTATACAGTAGTCCACCCTTATTTGTGATTTTGCTTTCTATGGTTTCAGTTACCTGTGGTCAACTGCAGACCTGAACTATTAAAAGGAAAATTCCGAAAATAAACATTCATAAGGTTTAATTTGCGATGTTCTGAGTAGCATGATAAAATCTTGCACCTGCTCGCTCCATCGTGAATCATCTGTTTTGAACAGCGTCTCCACGCTGTATGCTCCAGCAGCCCGTCAATCACTTAGCAGTTGTCTGAGTTGTCAGATGGACTGTCCTGGTATCACAGTGCTTGTGTTCCAGTCACCCTTGTTTTACTTAATAATGGCCCCAAAGTGCAGACGGAGTGGTGCTGGCAATCCGGATGTGCCACAGAGACGCTGTAAAGTGCTTCCTTTAAGTGACTTATAAAGAAAGAACAGTGGTACGCTGGCATCGCACACATCACTTGAACTCATCCTGTAGGCATTCTGTCATCTCTCATTATCACAAGAAGGATTAATATAGTACAAGAAGATATTTTGAGAGAGAGGGAGCAAGAGACCACATTGATTTAACTTCTATTACAGAATATTGTTATAATTGTTCTATTTTATTAATTATTGTTAATCCCTTATTGTGTCTACCTTATAAATTAAACTTTATTGTAGATATATATACAGAGAGAGAGAAAAAAACAGTGGGATTGGGAACAGAACTACTGTATGGATGGGGGAACTACTGTATACATTTTTCTTACCGTATCAGTTAATCATGTGTACAGATATTTCTGTCATAAAAGACTAGGTGCAATTCTTTGACCAAATACATCTATAGTAGTAAGATTTTTCCCTAAATTAAAATATTAAAATAATAATTAAAATATAGTCTTTATGAATTTTGGGTTAATAAAGGATCCATTTGTTTATTTTCCAAATATTGAAAAGCTGTTTTCAGTATTCTGGCCCAGAAGCCTTGGAGGTGAACAATTGCTGTCTTCTGAAGGTTCAGCGCAGGAGGAAATAGATAAGGAAAGCATAGTGGAGGAGTAAACACAGCGTACTGCGTGCCTCGAGGAAAAAGCCCTCGGTTCTGCCTGTAAGACTGGGAAGTGGTTTCTGAAAGAGGTGCCATTTGAGCTGAGGGAGAGAGAAGAGCATGTAGAAAAGAACAACCAAGAGCCCCTCCATGAATGACAGCCACGGTCACGGACCGGTCACGGACCGCTTAACGATGGGGACGTGCTCCGGGAAGGCGTTCTTTCCAAGCCGACATCTGATGAAGGGAAATTAGTTTGGAGACACCTTGCGTGTTAGCATACAGCTCTGAGAAGCTAATAAAAAAGCTCTTTACCTTTTTTAAAAATTATTATGGAACTAGTTTTTCTTAGTTTATTTTTCAATTATAGTTAACATACAATATTATATTAGTTTCAGGTGCACAACATAGTGATTAGACATTTGTATACCTAGCAGAGTGACTCCCCCTGATAAGTCTAGTACCCATCTGACTTGTACATAGTTATTACAATGTTATTGCCTAGATTCCCTATGCTGTAGTTTACATCCCCGTGACTGTTTTAATAACTGGAAATTTTGAAGGATTTTGAACAAAGGAGTGATGAGATTTGCATTTCTAAAAGACAGGAGAATGATCAGAGGCAGGGAAGCCTCTTGGGCTTAGATGTGTTAAATATGGGGCACATTAAAAGTAAAATATTCCGATTAGGAATTAGAGACTAAAATTTTAAATTAAAATAGTTCCTTTATTGAATTCTTCGAGAAGAGCCTGATTTGAACTTGGTTTTTGTGTTTTTTAAAACAATATATGCATAGCATTCAAAAAGTCAAATAGTTCTATAAGACTTAATACCTAAGTCCCCTACCACATATCATTTCTTCTAGCTCATTTTTTTGATTAAAGGAAACCAACTATTTTAACTGTTTGCCTCCATGTATCTAAATGACATGATCATAGTGCTTTCTTATTTATTTTTTTAACATCAAACATTCGCTATTGACTTTTCATTGAGGAAGAGAAGGCCTTAGCACTTGCACCTGCACACCTGCACACCTGCACAGGCACACGCACCCCTTCCACCCCGTCCACATTCGTGCACACACCTGCCCTTCATCTTGCCTCCGCAGTTCTGTCATAATCTTGGGGTATATCAATATGGTTACTTTTATTTCCTTGCACAACTTTTTGTATTCCCAATAATTGTCTTTTTCATTTTATTTATTTTTGTTTAGATTTTCTGTGTACTTAACACTAATTCGTCACCAAATTCTCCTTGATATTTGCCACTTTTACCCATTTTACCTTCTTATGAGATCCCTCTTCCAGATTTTCTGGCATCATTAATCCAGACTATCTAGATTGAAAATTGTTTTCACTTAGCATTTTTAATTTGTTCCGACTCCATTGTTGTTACATACTTTTAAAAATTTTGAACCTCTTGCCCTGGCCAGTTTGGCTCAGCGGTTAGAGCGTCGGCCTGCGGTCCGGAGAAACCTGGGTTCGGTTCCCGCTAAGGGCACGTACTTCGGTTGCAGTTTGTCCCCGGCCCTGGTTAGTCGTGCGAGTGGCAGCCACTCGATGTGTCCCTTTCACATCGATGTTTCCCTCTCTCTCTCCCTTCCTCTCTCTCCCTCCCACTCTATCTGTACAAAAAATGGAAAAATATCCTTGGGTGAGGATAAGAAAAAAAAAAATTTGAACTTCTTGGTTTTTGTTTTTGTTTTTTTTTCTTTCTAAAAGTGTAAAAGTCTTTGCATTGTTTTCTGTCCTCTGAATGTTGTGATGATTTGTATTAGAGCAGGTTTTTACTTTGAAAACTCAGTTTTTTCAACCTTGTGAAATTTTCTTATGCTACTCCTATTTCCTCTCCACTGTTTCCTCTTTGGACTATTCCCTGATTTTTGGACTTCTCAGATGTATTATCTTGTCTCTTTTTTCCTGTTTACCATACCTTTGTCATCTTGTTTTATTTCCAGGGCTATTTCCTCAACTTGTTTTTCAGTTAGGTGAGTCATATATTTAATTTCCAGGGCTTGTTTTTGGATCTCTGAATTTTGTTCTTGTTTTAACATCCTGTTCTTATTTCATTGATGTACCTTTTACCTTTCTAAAGATTTGATTTTTTTTTTTTAATGAGCTTTTGTCTCTACAGAATCTGTCTCCACTTTCCTTTTGGTTTAATCTCCATCTTTCAGGTTTGTGCTTTCCTAAGACGTCAGGTGATTCTTGGTTATCTCTACCTGTTTGCTTGTATAAAGTTGAAAAGCTGGAAAGTCTTGGGCCTGTAGGTGGGATTTGTCAACCAGATGTTTCTCTGTAAAGTTATCCGGCTTAGCCATTTCACTTCTTAGGGTACCTTGAATTGCAGTGTATTTAGGTCTTTCCCATAAGATGATCAGATTTCCCATAAAAGAATTTTCAGGTCTGCTGCCTAGAGAGCCAACCTGAATCCTGGTATCCTGGGAAACAAGTAGAAAGAGAAAGGTGATAGTCTCAGCACTCATTCAGCAGAGTTACTCTTAACCTCTTCTTTTTCAGTCTGGCACCCTGGACTCAGCAGTGCTTGCTACCCTCCAGTCCAGAGCTTCTCTGTCATCTTCCTCTAGTGAGTTAGCAGGCAGTCTTTCACCACGTCAGAGGGAGTGGCAGGATGTCTGGTTGCAGGGACTTGGGAAGGGGCTCTGAGGATCTAGCTTTTTTTCCCACTTTGTTGTTAACACATGACACATACAGAAAAGTGCCTGAGTCATAAGTACACCGCTGACTGAATTATCCCAAATGAACAGACCTGGTCTATGCAAGGCGAGAAATAGAATATTACCTGTACTGCAGTCACACTTACTTCTAATTACCACCCTGCCTCTCTTCAAAGATGCCCAGTGTTCCGAAGATTACTGTAGTCTGTCTTTGGATATTATCTTGAGTCCAGCTTCCTTTATTCATTATTATGCTTGTGAGGTTCATCTGTGTTCTTACAGATAGTGTAGTTAACTCTTTTTAAATGAATCCGTCTCATTCTACTGTTGACGGACATTGTTGTTCTTAGTTTGGACCTTCTCAGTACTTCTTCAGTGGCATCGGTAGACTTTCAGGAAACCCTCCTGTTTTCATTCACACCTTCCCCCCTACTGCCATGTCTGCCGGGTGCTGCCCAGTCCTGAACTGAGGAGAGGTCTGTGGTGCGAAAAGGCTGCACCTCTGCTTCCCTGCTGCTGGCTTAGGATTCGGTTACCTGGGAGTGGGCAGTGTTACTTAATGTTTGCTTGTCTGCTTTTCAGCCTCTTAAGATTGTCTTGCAGTATCTTTTCCCCACTGGCTTTGTCTTTGTGAGGTATTTTTTGAAAATATTTATTTTTGTGTGACTTTTGGAAGGTACCGGGGTAACGCTTGTGTTCATTCGTCTTTTTTTTTTTAACCCAATTTAAACTTTATTTTCAAAGCCATCTTTTTTTTATTTTTTATTTCTTCCAAGATAGAATTTCTGAGATATGGTGTCTTAGAGTAACTTATATATAGTACCTAATTTTACGGTAAATTTAAGTCAATAATAAGTATAATGGTAAGTTTTTTGTTGATCAATTGAGTATTATCCTTTTGACTATTTAAAAGTCACATTGTAAACATTTAGTCTAATTTACAGAATTTTTTTTAATAGGGCATCGCTGGAACTGACGTAGCTAAAGAAGCATCTGATATTATTCTCACAGATGACAACTTTACAAGCATTGTTAAGGCAGTCATGTGGGGACGAAATGTCTATGACAGCATCTCAAAGTTCCTTCAGTTCCAGCTCACTGTCAATGTCGTAGCAGTGATTGTTGCTTTCACGGGCGCCTGTATTACTCAAGTATGTTGACAGTTTGTTCATTAAAACGTGTTTATTTTAAAGCAGATATGTGTATAATGTGCTTCTGAAAAGTACTTAAATATTTACATAAGCTGAAGATTAATATTTTAGGTTAATTAGTTGACAAGTGCAGTCTAGGCCTGTTCACTGAGTTTTCAGATACAAGTCCTAGAATTGCTGAGTCCCTGAGTAGTTGTGAATGTCTATCAGGAAACCTGTCTCTTCTAGGATTCGCCGCTTAAGGCTGTGCAGATGCTGTGGGTAAACCTCATAATGGACACGCTCGCTTCCCTGGCTCTGGCAACCGAACCCCCCACTGAGTCTCTCTTGCTTCGGAAACCTTATGGTAGAAATAAACCTCTCATCTCACGTACAATGATGAAGAATATTTTGGGTCATGCATTCTATCAACTTGTAGTAGTCTTTACACTCTTGTTTGCTGGTAAGAATTTAATACCTGATAAAGCCTCAGTTGTTTCTCTTCTACGCTAGTATTTTAGATGATTATTTAATATCAAAAAACTTTTCAAGAAAATAAGTTGTTCTCTCTTTGACTCCTCATTTACCTTTAATTTCTCCTCTTTATCAGTTGGATGCTCAGTAAGTTTTGGGAGGCCATGTGAGAAATAGTGGGGGGAAGTAGAGTCCTCATTGCTTGTCCTACCGCAGCCACTAACTTAGATGTGATCTTGAGTATGTCACAGTACTTTGGGGCCTTCACAGTGCTCATCTGTAAAACAAGAGAGAAAACTCGATAATCCCAGGCCCCTTCCAACTCTTTCTGTGTTGTCATTTGGGATCAAAAAAAGGTCAGGCTAGGTTTTAGTATTGCATACGTCCTTGAAAATGTTAAGTAATTTTGTATGATAATTACAAAATAATCATTTTTAATTCTTTCAGGAGAAAAGTTTTTTGATATTGATAGTGGAAGAAACGCTCCTTTGCATGCTCCTCCTTCGGAACATTACACTATCGTTTTTAATACATTTGTACTGATGCAACTTTTCAACGAAATAAATGCCCGGAAAATTCATGGTGAAAGAAATGTGTTTGAAGGAATATTTAATAATATCATCTTCTGCACAATTGTTTTAGGCACTTTCGTGGTACAGGTAGGTAATTGGAAAAGATAGATTCAAATTTGATTATTGTGTGGGAGATATTAGGTAGCCAGTGACTTGTTCTGGAAATTACTTGACCGCAATGTGTGGGGCTTCTGTGTATTGCTTTGAGGACATTTAAAAAGAGTTTTAGCCCTGGCCAGTGTTTCTCAGTGGTTAGAGCATTGGCCCATGGACCAAAGGGCTGAGGGTTCGGTTCCCAGTCAAGGGCACGTACTTGGGTTGCAGGTTCAACCCCTGGCCCTGGTCAGGACACGTGCGGGAGGCAACCAATCATTGTGTCTCTCCCACATCAATGTTTCTCTTTCTCTCTCTCCTCCTCCCTTCCTCCTTCCCACTCTTTCTAAAAATCAATGGAAAAATTATCCTCGGGTGAGCATTTAAAAAAAAAAAAAAAAAAGTTTTAAATATCATAACTCAAGTGAAAAATTGCCCTATCCTGAAATTCTACATATGAGAAGAATATGTTAAGCAAATAACCACTTTAATTGCACGATGGGTTCTGTGGTTGTGATACCTCACAATCACTCTGATTCTGGTTTTGTTTCATTCTACGTCATTATTATCAAGACTGTTATCATTTTGATGCTATTTAAGGTAAATGTTACAGTTTACCTTCTAGGCTTGCTTAATTGCTTCTAGCAATTAATAGTTGTATTTCTACACTTTGAGTTTCTATGCTAAAATAATAAGATTTTTAAATTAATGTTTTAGATTTTGTATGATTCTGAATGGCTGCATTCTGAGTTGGACATGTCAACTTTCTCATTTTGTAATCTTGTCAAAACAAGGCAGAAGAGAGTGTAGAATGGGGTGTGATGAGTGGGACTGGGAATGAATAGGAAGAACTGAAAAAGTCGTTTTAAGAACAAAAGTAATGATTGCTTTGTATGTGGTGATTTTATGTAACTGTATTATAGCTGTGTTTTTATATCTTCCTGTGTTCTCTGGTACTCTTCTCTGTGAATGACTGTATAGTAGGATCTGGAATCAAAACAGGTAAATAATAGTACATACGCCCCAGGAAGTCAGTAAGCACAATAAGATTTCAAGTGAAAAAGTGAGATTTTTTTTTTAACAGTTTATTCAGCCTGTACCTTGTGCACTGTGGATACCGAAACCAAAACCCTCGACTTAATTATTTCTGCAAAAACTATTTCTATTAGCTTTCAATTTCTATAAATTTTAGGAGAAATGTTGTTTACTTGCTACATAGTTTCTGAAAGTGTTTTACTTAGATTTTACAAAAATCATTGTGACATGCTAAAGTTTTAGCTTTTACTTGCCACAAAATTAGGTTTATTTGGTGTGTTATTAAAATATGGGGATTACAAAAATATAACGGCCTTCTCTGTCTCAAGAAAATCTGGTCACTTAGTTCCGGACAAAGGGTGATATACCTGAAACAGTTCATGTAAGGTGGTGTTCTTCAGTGCCTGTGAACACGCCAATGCTACTCAAAGTGGGGCCTGTGGTCCACAGACACTTTATTACATGTCCCCAATCAGATAAGGAGCATAGGCCAGAAAATAAACCAACAACTTCCCTACTCACACTGTATTTCAGAGGAGGGGTGTTTGTGTTGTTGCTGGGTGGGGGTGTTATTTTGTTTTTAGTGGTAGCAGCAGCAGCACTGTGCAAGTAGGGCATTGATTCCAACTCCAGCATATGTTCCTTATCCCCCTGTCATGGATTAGCACCCTGAATAGCACTTTTTTAGACTGTCAGGGGTAGGAAAACATGACCCTGGGTGTACACATATCTCATTTTCTTTGTTTCTGAAACAGAATAGCCAGTCCTGATTATAGATCTGAAGTACCTAAAGGACTTCACCTTATATATTATTATATTTAAGTTAATTTCGGTATCTTATTTACTAGCCAGTTCTTCTTATTTTTACTTTTTCCTTGACTGATCATGAAGTACATAATAATCCTTAAAATTCTTTGTAAATATTTTTAGGGTTTTTTCTGCTTGGTAGCAATTGACACAAAATCAGTGTTTTCAAAATAAGTTCCGTGAAACACTAATCTTTTGAGTTGCTCTGACATCCTCAATAAGTTTAGAAAACATTGCCTGTTTTGCTTACCTCTTGGAGATTCTTAAAGCCATATGACATAGTACGTACACCATGAATGTGGGCGTCCGTCAGTTCTGGGGTCCCGCCATGGTGCTGCCTCAGTAGCTGTGTGACCTTGACAGGCCACAATTCCTCACTTGTGAGATGGGGGTAATAACATTAACTAGATCATGTCATAGAATTACTAGAGCATTAAAAGAAACAGTGCACATGAAGCCCTGAGCTTCCTGTGTGGAAGGAAACACTCAAATCTGAGCTGCTTTTTTCTTTCTTTCTTTTTAATTAACAATTCAAAGGCTTTGGGAAATCCTTCAGATAGGTACCCTGTTGAACTTTGTTTAATCCAGCCCCTTCTAAATTTAGAAGACAACACTTAATGCTAGGTTCTATTCACACACATTTAGGAAATGCTTCACTACACTGAAATACACAACTCAGTAACAGTAGATCTAAGGAGTGTATTAAAGAATATGGAAACTGCCCTGGCCAGTTTGGCTCAGCAGCTGGGTATCAGCCTACGGACCAGAGAGTCCCGGGTTCGGTTCCTGTTAGGGGCATGTACCACAAAAAATAAATAAAATAAAATAATATGGAAATTTATTTTTAGAAGTAAATTTAGACAGTTTTATTTCTTTCAACTATAAAATAAAATATTTCTTATGACACATAACCAACCATATTAATCCAGTTTCCCCGGTATCTTAATATCCTTTTCACATCCCTCATTACACTAAAACAAAAAAGGTAATTTAAAAATTTTTTTAAAATTTAAAACACACAAAGAAGTGTTGGGTTTTTTCCATGCTCATTTTTATGGTTTACAAAAGAAAATTATTACAGTTTAATATGTCCATTAAAATCCAAGCAAGATTGCTGAATCATTTATAATCATCTGGTTGGGCTCCTTAAAAAAACAGTTGAGAATCAATCTGTACAAGGGTGCAAATAATCTTGACTTTAAGGACAGTAGAATTGACAGATACATAGCACTTGAATTTGGAATACGGTACAGCTACAAAGAATGGAGGTCATAACTTTCAGAAACAAAGTTTAAAAGCTATTAATACCAAAATGATTATTTTTAATATCAATATGTGGCAGCTACTAACTGCCATATTAAAAGGAGATCTATCAGTTTACAAGGGGGTGACTATTGTTACAAACTCTTAATATTCCCATTACACTTAGGTTTTTTAAAATAAGAAGGGAAACATAAGCACTGTGTTGTGAATGCTATTTATGCGGATCATTGGCCTTTGCTTTTTGTGAGGGAGAGCACATTTCTGAGGGTACACCACCTGAGTTAGCACACGTTTCATAGAACTCTGCAAGTTGCTTCTCTTACAGTCCATTTCTGTGTGTCCTAACATCTCATTGTTAACCGGGAATGAATAGCTATTAGAAGGAAAACAAAAAGGTTGAATATCATGTCCACTTTTCCATAACAAACGGTCTTTTCCACAAAAGTGTACTATGTTTTGTGGAAAGGCATAAATTATCCAAAGAGTTAAATACAGGGGAATGTAGTAGTTTTTTGAGATTATATTGAAAACCATATAAAGTTACTGTCTTGATCATGAGAATTTTTTAAAATTATTAGTAAGCATAATTGAAACATGAAATAATACCTGCATTGAAATTTTTGGACAGAATGATTTTACTTTATTTCATTTCATTTGTCTTATTTTCAGCTGTATTTATACATGTCACCATGAGAATAATGGTTGTTAAGCTTAAATTTTAGAGAACACAAATCTGGGTAAATTTTAAAGTATATGAATTGTAAATGTAAAAGGTTTAAATAAACTTACTCTTGATTATTCCTCCAGATAATAATTGTGCAGTTTGGTGGAAAACCTTTCAGTTGTTCAGAACTTTCAATAGAACAGTGGCTATGGTCAGTATTCCTAGGAATGGGAACCTTGCTCTGGGGCCAGGTAAAAAGACCCTCATTTTCTGTTCAAACCTTAAGCAAATTTTTTAAAGAAATTTCAAGTGTGTATTTTCTTTAAGCAGTTCTGTACTTGGTTCTAAGTATATACCATTCTAGGGCAAAAAGGGCAGTTAGGGATATGGTTTTTTAAAATGTAATATTTGCTTTAATATGTTACTTGCTGTTTACTATGAGTATGCCTCTATAATAAAATACTATTTAAATTTCCTACCTAGTTTTTTAGAACAATTTTTACAACAGTATTATAATGCATTTATAACTGGCTAGGAATCTAATATCTGTATCCTTTGCTCTATACTTTTGCATTTTTAGAATAGATATTTTTACAAAAATATAAACTATTATGTGCTTTAGACTGTATCATCTTTTATGTTAACTCAATCCAAAAGGTAGCATAGGAAAAGTCTTGAGTTTCAGTTTACATAGAGAATGTTTCCATAAAATAATGGTGTCTGGATATATGAGCCACAAAATGACAATTTAGATTATTTGGATTGAATGGCTCTAACAGGATGTATATAAAATACAATGCCTAAAAAAACGAGGTCTACCTCATCTTTTTTATAGGCAGCTGGCTTGAATGAGCATGTCATTACTTTTAAAAGATAAGTGGTAACGGTGTATACGGTGTTCATGTTAAGCCCATTACCATTACTATAAAACTAATTGATAGAGAATCTAGACTGTTTTCATAAATGAAGGTTAACATAATGTTATGGTGTATAACTTGTGTGAACTAATTTATTGTCGTTCTGCAAGTCAGTCAAACCAAACATCCAGGTTTTTCTTGAAGTTAATCCTTTATCTCACCTTTTTTTAAAAAAATTGTTTCTAGGTTCCGAGGTTTCTCTTACTCAATTTGAATACCTCGTTAACAGAGACCTTCTTTTAAGTAGGATCCATACGTGCTCCACCTTTCTTTTTTGACTATCCTGATTATTGTATGATGTTCTCTCGTGGGCAGAACAGAACCCCACAACCTCCCCCAAGTCGAGCTAATTTCAGGAAGAGGAAAGTCAGCACAGCATACATACCCAACAGGCATCAGCTGCCATCTTTGGTTGTCATTGTCCATTGAATTGAAGTGTGCAGTGGTGGAAAGCACTGATTTGGGTGGTCAGGAGACTTAGGGTCTTAGTCATTCCATGAGCAAGTCTCCTCGGGTCTGTGAGCCTGTTTCACCTGTGAAATGAGGTGGTTGGACTCGACATTCTCTGAGAGGTTCTGATTCTGACTACATGCTTGTTTCCCACTGATAAGCCCGGCTGCCGTAGGAATGGCTGCTGACATCTATACGTTAATAGATACTTGTTTGTGTTTTTGTATCCTTCACGTTTTCTGGGGTATCTGTTCCTGTGTGGTGTCCGTATCAATCAGTGTTAACTCAATTTTTTGAATAGTTGCTTTTATAAAATAAATACATTTCATAAACAAAAAAACTATTTTTAGTTTACCAAACACTATTTTTAGTTTAACCTTGAAGATTTGGGGAATTTGAGTATGTTTTTTCCTCATTGAATTCTTACAGCACTAATGAAATACAAATTTGTTTTGCATCCAGTAAGACAACCTGCCATTTTTATTTTATATATTTTATTATATATAAAATATATATATTAAATATATATTATATATTTTTATTTTATTTTATATATTTTATTTATTTTATATAACTAATAGGAGTTCAAGTAAATATACATGTCAAAGCATGGTTTTAAAATTTACTGTCATGAATGTCCTGAAGTATGAAAAATGTAATCAGATTATTTTTATTCAGGAAAACTTTTTTTACCCTTCAAACTTAAATCTTTTGTGCAGCTAAGAGAGGACTATTTTTTGTTTTTAGAAAGAAAGCCTCTGATGGACAGGATCTCTCATTGCTTCATTGGTGAAGTTAGTTGGTTATGCACCTTTTCATACCCTTTGTACTAAAGTTGATCAGTTTAATTGTACGTGATATGATTTATTTCAAGTTCTTTCCCCTGTGTTGTAGCTTATCTCAACAATTCCAACTAGTCGTTTAAAATTCCTAAAAGAAGCTGGTCATGGAACACAAAAGGAAGAAATACCTGAGGAGGAGTTAGCAGAGGACGTGGAAGAGATTGATCACGCTGAGAGGGAGTTGCGGCGTGGCCAGATCTTGTGGTTTAGAGGTCTGAACAGAATCCAGACGCAGGTATGGGCCTGGAGAGAGGTAGGACAGGTGATGGGAACGGGAGCCAAACAAGGGCTTTTGGACCTGGGGAGGAGGTTTGAACACCCTCCTTAACTTCCTTTCTAGCCTTCCCAGCCCACAAAACTTACTGTTTTGAAATATAATTCTGGTACCTGGAATGAGTGAAAGTTTTAACTGATCATGAAAGAATGTGTCTATATGCCCCAAGCTCCTTTTTTCCTAGCTTTCCCCCTTCATCACAAAATACTACTCTTGCCTATTTATCTGCTCTGTAAAAAGTGCCTTTTTTCCTTTACTTTTTATATGTTGATAGATGGAATGGTCCTTTCTCTGGCTCTCTCTCTCTCGCTGAGCAAGCTGTCACAATCTCTGATTCCTTGCAGATGGATGTAGTGAATGCTTTCCAGAGTGGAAGTTCCATGCAGGGGGCTCTAAGGCGGCAACCCTCCATCGCCAGCCAGCATCACGATGTAACAAATATTTCTACCCCTACACATGTAGTGTTTTCCTCTTCTACTGCTTCTACTACTGTGGGGTGTGAGTGTGTGTTCCTAAGTGCATGAAATTAACATTTCCTACTTCACACACCTAACGTTTCTCATTTTCTCCTTAATGTTTAAATTCATCGTTCAGGCTTTTCATAAAGCTTTCTTTTCGTAAAGTGGATTGAGACCTCAAAGTGTTGTCATTGTTGTTGTTTTATTTCTTAGAGGGCTAGATAACAGGCAGAACAATTGCAACCAAAGATTAGATATGAAATCTGTGAGCTTGTCTCTATGTTAACTGATCTTTAGTAAGGGAATAAAATTGTAGTTTAGAAATATGAAACTACTATAAATTTTTGAGTATATGCCTTTAAACATGTTCATATTGCATGGTGCCCAGAAGCATGTGATTTTAAACTGGGAACAGGACCTGGGGAGGAGGTTTGAACCAAGAAACTATGTTTTTAAAGCTAAAAATGAATTCAGCATTTTTACTTTTATCTTGCTGAGGTTGGAAGATTAAGTTATAAGAAAAGTTTTTAATATATGGCCGGTTGTTTGCCTTCGTAGCCTAGACTTTGTGACCTTGTTTTGGATATTGGTTTTTTTGGGGGGGGGCCGGGGGGAGTCTCTGTATAAGCTTCAGAGTTCTTTGGTATTTACAGGTGTTTTTTTATTTGTATAGTCAATTTAATTTAAAATTGCATTCTAGGTAAGAAATAGTCTGGTGTTTTAAGTTTTCCAAAGAAGTAAGGGAAAGTGTACTATTGATTAATTATTGAACCATTTCATGTCCTACTTTCCATTCACTGAGTAGAGTAACAGATTTCCTTACAGATTTTTACTAAGTGGCAAACTCCCCAAAAGCCTTATAACCTATATCATCCTTATTGTGAATGAGGGTCTTGATTTTGTGGTGGATTCTCAGTATATTGGAGGCACTAGACCTCTCCTCACCCCCAAAGTCAGCTGAGATACCTAAGGGTAATCTTCCTTTGAGGGAAGACCTCTTTGCCATTTGGTCTTTAGCGAGTGAAGGACCAGAGGCACCTTGGGAAGCCGGGGAGAAGATGAGTTGAGGGGATAACAGTGCTGTTTAAAGAACTGTTTATTCAGTGCCTTTTTGATCACTGTTTGCTTAAGAAATTTTCATTTGTTCTTTTTGACAATGTTGTGAAACAGGAAGAACAGGAACTGTTCCCCATTTTACTGAGAGAACTGACTTGGAGCTCAGATGACTTGTTCATGCTGATAAGCAGAGGCAGTGTGGTGTAGCGCAAGGAGCAGACAAGTGTTCTGAGGACACGCCGACCCAGTGATGTTGGACAGAGCGTTAAGTTTGCATACATGGACAGATAGGAATCTTTCTTATGAAAACTGCCCTGAGGCCTGGCCAGTGTGGCTCAGTTGGCTGGGCATTGCTCTTGCACCAGAAGGTTGCTGGTTCAGTTCCCTATCAGGGCACATGCCTGGGTTGCGGGCTCCATCCCTGGTAAGGGGCGTGCAGGAGGCACCCATCACTCTTGCACTCACATTGATGTTCTTCCTCCCTTCCTCTCTCTTTAAAAACCAATAAACTATTCTTTAAAAAACAAAAAAAACAGCCTCGCCGGTGTGGCTCAGTGGATTGAGCATTGTCCATGGACAGAGAGGTCCCAGTCCGATTCCCAGTCAGGGCACATGCGCGCTTGATCCCCAGTGAGGGGCGGGCAGGGGGCAGCCAGTTCGTGTATGTCTCACATCGATGTTTCTATGTTTCTCTCCCTACCTCTCTCTCTCAAAAAATCAATATAAAACATTTTTAGAAAGCCTTCGCTGGGACTACCTACCTGAATGAATGGTGTATGTAGATTGCCGGCCTTGTGCCTGTGACAGCTCACGTCAGCTGCATTGCTCCCTCCCTCTGTGGGTGGGTTCCCCAGCATTCCTGACTCCTGAGGGCTTCCGACAGCTCATCTCTTCAGCTGCTGTTAGTGTTTCATGTGTGGAAAGCCTCCCCCATGCCAGGCTGCACTGGAACCCGGAGACATGACAGTCCAGGAAGGAAACCAAGCAAGTAGCTGGGAATTACTGCCTGGTAATAGAATACAGAATATTATAATAGGGTCCTTAACGTTCCCTGGGAAGTCAGGAAAAACTACCTGAAGAAAATGATTCCTGAGCCAGTTCTTGATAGAATGTGCTCAGTTGGGGCAAGCAGTCCTCAGTGGCATAGTTTGCTACTAAAACAGTAATAAAATGGTAAGGAGCTGTGAGGCTGGAAAGGACGGGAAGGGTCTGCTTGTGTCCTGTAAGGAGGATCTTAGAGGAGACTTCATCCTGAAAGACTCCCTGCACTCAAAATGTTAAACTTGAAAAATTTCAAACGAACAGGCAAGTTGAAAGATTAATACATGAATAATACTTTTTTATCTGGATTTACCACTTTTTAATATTTCATGGCATCTGCTTTATATATTAATATATACTTTTTCTTGAGCCATTTGAAAGTGGCAGATATCATGACATTTCATCTCTGAATTACTTCAGCGTGTAGCTCTTAATAAGAAGTCTCCTACATAATCACACCATATTATCCCATCCAAGAAGGTTAACAATGATATCATTTTATCTATTATACAGTCTAATATTCAGATTTTTCTAGTGGCCCCCAAAATGCCCTTTATAGCTTTTTAAAGCCAGGATTCAAGAAAGGATCGTCGGTGGTGTGTTAGGGATCTCTAGTCTCCTTTCATCTTGATCCATTTTTTTCTACCTTTCTTTTTCAGGACATTGACTTTTTTTGAAGAATCCAGGCCAATTGTCTTTTAAAGTAGCCTCTATTCTGAATTTCTTTGTTTCCTCATGATTAGCTTCATGTTAAACTTTGCTGACAAGTTTACATGCCCGGGTGGCATGTATTCTATTTATTTTATTTCAGCAAAATTTTAAATAATTGACTTTTTATTTGGAGGGATGTCACATGACCTTAGGTATGTTTATTGTGTTTCTCTGTATAGTTGTGTTCTAGGCCTTATATTAAATATCAGATCAGTCACCAACTTTGTCTGAAGACATACCCACCTACACCTGCCCAGGCTCTTCTCTGATGTACAGATATGCATGAGACCTCTGAGTTGTTGGGCTCATGTGGCCAGGTGATAGAGGTATGCTTCAGAGAGACGAGGGCAGGTTTGTGTTCTTGGAACATAAGGAGGTATTGAGGGCTGATGTATATTCTTTTTTATTTTTTAATATGTTTTTATTGATCTTCTTAGAAAGGAAGGGGAAGAGAGAGAAAAACATCACTATGAGGGAGATACATCAATTGGCTGCCTCCTGCATACCCTCCCCCACCCCCATTGGGCATGTACCCTGACCAGGAATTGAACCAGGACCTCTCAGTCCATGGGTTGATGCTCAGTCACTGAGCCATACCAGCTGGGCTGATGTATATTCTTGTTCATGAGGTTATCATTGTCCACTAAGAGTTGGCACTTGTTATATTGCTGTTACCATACATTTCTTTTAACCTTGCTGGTAAGCCTTGTGTTTGGTGGTAATGCAGAACATCAGCCAATATACAGAATTAATTATTAATGTTAATATATGTAATGAAAGGTTTGATTTCCTCAGTGTTCTTGCACTAATACGGAATAGTCTTAGAAGTATCTGTGGATGTGCAACTTCTTTGACTGTTATTTGGAATCTTTGCTTTACTAAATGGAAAAATAATTTATGTCAACTTTGTCATATACTACACTTGAAACATCTCTGAAGAAGATCATCTTATCTTTTTTCCCTCATTTATTTGTCAGAGTTTTACTCCTAAAGATCTCTAGAGAAAACATTCTATAGTGTTTTTTTTGTTTGTTTATAAAGTATATCATTCTAATATCAGTCTTTATCATTAGTAAATTATTTTGCTGAATCAATAGTTAAACCTCCCTGGAAAGGAGAAACTGAGAGGAAACCTGGTCTTTAGGTGATGGGTTGGTAAACTATAACCTATGGTCCAAATGTGGCTTGTTGCCTGTTACTGAAAATAAACTTTCATTGGGACAGAGTTACACTCAGTCATTTTGGCCATCTGTGGTAGTTTTCGCTCTGCACAGCAGAGTGGAGGGCTGCATCGGAGACACAGCGCTCAGGAAAGCTTTATTTACTCTGCTTTTACAGAAAACGTTTGCCAGCCTCTGTTGCAGTTAAGTAAATGGCCACACAAGTGGGTCTTATTCTGAGCAGATTTGATGTGCAAATACCCAACTTTGGAAAACACCCTAGAATTTTCTTTTTTGTTCATAGTGTCTTTGATTTTACTATTGCAATTCTTTGGTTGGTTGGTTGGTTAGTTGGTTGGTTTTGGTTAGTTCTGGTTAATCCTCACCCAAGGATATTTTTCCATTGTTTTTTTAGATAGAGTGGAAGGGAGGGAGGGGGAGAGAGAAACATCAATTGGTTGCCTCTCCTTTGACCCCAACGGGGGCTGGGGATCAAACCTGCAACCCAGGTACTTGCCCTTGACTGGGAATCAAATATATGACCCTTTGGTCCGCAGGTCCACGCTCTTAACCACTGAACCAAACCGGCCATGCACCAATGCAATTCTTTGTGAGTGCATATAGTAAAAGTAATGATAAATATGAATTTCAAAAATGGGCAGTCTGTTGTGGAAGGTATGATATATCAGGTAGGGACTAAAATAGTCTCATATTTTATAACCTTGTATATCATGTTTTGGGCAAAAATACTATTTTCTGCTTTCAAAAGTTAGGATTGTATTTAGAAAACTGGGTGGTTTAGCAGGGTGTATGGTTTTGTTTTAGTTTATTACTCAAATTTAATGTATTTAATGTAAACTGATAATCATTTTCAGTTTTTTTAATTACGATTATGACAATCATTGCTATTTTTTGTTTACCATATATGCATTGTACAGTGTTTTTCTCTGAATTTACACTTTAAAAAATGTTTTGACCTAGGCATTATTGGATTTTTCTTTACTTTAATAATTTTAAGACTTATAATTATGCATTATAGTTCTCAATGAATGTTCAAGGAATTGTTAAGAGATTGGATGAAATAAACAGTGAGGCTCAGATTGCCAAGAATGGTAGTTCAAGTTGCTTATTTTTCTGTTTAAACTGGATCCTGTATAATTTTAAAATAGTTTTCTACCTACCTAAAGACTGTGCACACAGTTCTGCTTTTTAGTTATTCAGAATTACCACTGTGCATTTAGAAAGTAATAGAGATCACAGCAAGTACAGGTTCGCTGAGCGTCATGCCCTACTTTGGGAGCGCTTCTTTATGTATGTTCTTCATGAGTAGAAAGTAACACATCCGGTCCAGTGGCCACTGGTTAACAGAGATTGTATTGTACGTGTCTAACATGAGAGCTGTTCCTGGGAACGGCATTGGTTGGAGCAGTTCTGAGCTGTCCTGTCTTCGTGTGGCTAAGGAGGGGGATTGAAGGAAGACAGCGTTAATCTTCGTCTTGGGAGGTATTTTACTCTATTGACGTTAGCTATGTTCTCTTGATGATTTTGTAAGAACTTGAATGGAGAGCCCAGGAATCTTGATTCCAAGGCACTTTGACACTGACCAAGAGTGACGTGAGGTCAGCCACCCATCCTCCCAGTGCTCAGATTCACCATTTGTAAAAGGGTCAGGAGAGAAAGTGTGTCGAATACCCTTTCAGGCACTGATGTTCTGCGGGGATGTTGTAAATAAATTCTTTCAGAAAGAAGAAAATTTTAACCAAAATTGAAAAGTTTTGGTAAAAAGGAATCATGTGCCACAGAGGTGTGTGTATAATTGTGCGTACACACACACTGGCTGCTCTTTCCACTCGGCCCAGCCTGGAGTGCTGCTGATGCCCACCTCTCTAATCTAAGCTTCTGCCTCTCTCCTGAGCTCTGGCTCTTCTCACTTGGATGTTTTGCGGCTCCCCAAGTCTAACATGTTCAAAACATTGGTTTATTTCCCTCTTGATTCTTTAATATTCCCCTCTCCCCAGATTGGTCAAAACATAACTCTTTCTCTAGCTCTGTTAGTGCATGTCAGCGACCAAGTCACGTCAGGGTCATCTTGAATAGCTCTCATCACCTGTCAGATTGCTGGTCCTCCAGTCTGTGGTGTGCTCTGTGCCTACTGACCACTGACATCAACTGATATATATATATATTTTTGAGGAGGTCATCTTTTGGGTTTTTTAAATTGCATAGTTTATTATCAGGGCAGTCAGGATACTTGTTAAATGCCCACATGTATAATTGTAAGATTTGTAAGGTTTCACAATAAAAAAACAGTTGAGTGATTGTAATGATATGTTGAGGAAGCATTGTTTGCACACCATATGTAAAACACTTCACATCTTAGTAAATGGGGAACTAGAGCAATAAAGGAAATTGAAAATGTATTTGCTGCTAATTGTCCAATGAAGGGACTAAAGTATATACACATGAATAGAATAGACTCGTAAACTAGCCTATAATGAAGTAGCACCCCACATAGAACAGATGTTTGCAGCCCCAAGTGTGAACTGTGGACAGGGAGCTTGTTAGACCTGCAGGGTCTTGGGGCCCTGCTGAGTCAGAACCTGCATTTTAACAAGCTCCCAGGTGCTTCCTGTGCACATTGAAGTTTGAGAAATCCTGTTGGGCGCTAACCCTGTTCTGGTCTGGATGTGTGTGAACGAACTTAATCTCCTACAACAACCCCATAAGCTTGGTGCCACTGTTACTTTCCATTTTCTAGTTGAGGAAATCTGTTTGCTGGCCCCTTAGCTGTGAGTGGCAGCACTGGAATTCACACCCCGGCATTTCACCGGGCTGTCTCCTCGGTCAGCTGTGCTGTCCTCTCTGCATGAAGGGCTACTGAACAAGTTGTAGCGCAGCCCACACACATCCTAGCGAATCGGGCAGGACAGCTTTGAGGAGACACAGTCAGACCTCGGTTTTCGAATGTCTCCCATATCAAACAGTTCGCTTCTCAAGCCCACAACCCTTTCATGCTGATACCTCTGTGATCAGTCATGCGTTTCTCAGGTGACAGACGGGAGAGAATGCAGGAGTGTGAGTCAGTTCGATGCTGTTAACACATCGGGAAACTGCTGTGAGAAAATCTGTTTTTTTTTTTCCTTTTGTTGCTGATTATTGTTAAATTTTCATTTATTGCTGTACATTTCATTTCCCCTTTGTTAAATTTTTGTTTATATTTCATGTTCTTTTTTTAAATGTTTACTTATAGATTAAAAAGTACATTAGACATGTACTATGTATAAGAAAGGTTAAAACGGGGAATCATTTGGGGATCTGCAGTGGAATAATTCAATTTACATTATTTATTTCTCTTTTTTTAATCCTCACCCAAGGACATTTTTACATTTTTTTGTTCAGATAGAGTGGGAGGGAGAGAGAGAGAGAAACATCGACGTGAAAGGGACACATCGAGTGGCTGCCACCCACACGACCAACCAGGGCCAGGGACAAACTGCAACCGAAGTACGCGCCCCTAACGGGAACCGAACCCAGGTCTCTCTGGACCGCAGGCTGACGCTCTAACCACTGAGCCAAACTGGCCAGGGCAATTTACATGATTTCTAATGGGGAAAAATGCTTTGATTTTCTAACAGCCTTTCAGAACAAATTAAGTTCGAGAACTGAGGTTACACTGTAGGAGGTTTTCATCAGAACTGGATATATGTTGTTTGAAATGTTAGGATTCCCTTCTTTTTAAGGCTGCATAATCTTCCACTCTGTCAATACACTACATTTTCTTTACCCACTCATCTGTCAGTGGACATTTACAGTTTTTTCCATGTCTTGCTTATTGTGAGTAATGCTGCAAGGAACAGAGCACAGGAGTGCAGGTGTCTCCTCAAGATTCTGATTTTCGTGCCTTTGGATAAATTCTCAGACGTGGGATCTAAAATAGTCAAATTCACAGAAGCGGAGAGTAGAATGGTGGTTACCAGAGGGCAGGGGGAAATGGGGAGATGTTGGTCAAGGGGTACAAAGTTTCAGTTATGCAAGATGAGTAAGTTCGGGAGCTCTGGAGTATAGCATGGTGACTGTTACTATGCTGTGTAATTGAAACTTGAGAGGGAGAATCCTAACTGTTCTCATCACACAGTTGGCCCTCGTTTATCGTGGTTAATCAGTTCCAGACTCTACCGCGATAAATGAATTTCTGCGAAGTAGGGTTCTTTATTTATATACAGTCGTCCCTCCCTATCCGCGCTTCGACTTTCACGACTTCACTCTATGGCGGTTTTTTTCCGTAATAGAGCAAAGCAGCGAAAGTCGAAGCACAAAGTGGCGAGAGACGACTGTACATGCAAATGGTAACTATGAGTGATGGATATGTTCATGCATTTAAATGAAATTTATTAATTTTTATATTGATTTTTATAAGATAATTTTGGTGACTGCATTGTTTTATCTGGAATGTCAATGTAGGTTACTTCTCTTATGAGTAAATAATGTCTTCATTAAATAGGAGTCATTAGAATCAAAGCAAAAGCAAACGCTGTATTTAAATTGATATATGGTAAATGTTCAACTATTTAGATTTTGCCCACTTTTTTTTTTAAGTCTATATGACACTGGGTTAATGAGACCTGATATCACTGTGTGCCATGATATTTTTTTCAGTTAATTTGCCCATTAATCTCTCTTTTCATCCATCAGCAGACTTCTGAGAGGAGGATGAATTGTTAGGCTAAATGTTTAGAGACAAAAATATTAGAACACTTTGTGTCTTCTTGGGAACTATTTTACATAAGACTCCTAAAGGGTTTTTCTGTCTATGTTTTAAGTTTATTTTTTCCAATGAATTACAGTATATAAATCGATTTGTTTTAATCTATTAACAGAGAAAAACATATAACACTTTATAGACAAATGGCATATACTCAAATATTTATAGCTGTTTAATGGCATTTTATAGATATTTATTTGGGCTTTGTCTTTATTTTTATTTTATATCCCATGGGAATACTGGGGTAGATGTGAGTTTATGTGGCATCAGCTTATATTTGCTTGGCTTCCTCATAGTTGGTGTCACCCCAATTCCTAGCATGACAAATAATAACCCTCTGTGCTTGACTTTGTTTAACTTATTTGAATTGTTTTCAAAATTGCATATTTTTTAAATCAGCTAATGCTTGTTTAAGTTTTTGTTTTGTTTGTTTCTTGTTTGATTTTGTTTTCTTAGGGAAAAAAAAATCCTGTAAAATGGCTATTAAATTTTAGCCAGTGACAATGAGATTTTCTTAGTATTACTTCAAATTCTGTATTTCTTAATTCTTAGAGTATGTGGTTTTGTTGTCCCGTAGTGTCCTACTAAAATATTCATTTTTTTACAGTGTATTGCAAGTGCCACTGCATTACATGCAAATATATGATTCACTCATACCTAGCTGTTTGTGGATTCAAACTCATAAGTGCACCCCCTTTCAGGGAAGCTAATAGTACTGACACTTCTCTGTTTTCTGATATTTGCAGATTCGAGTGGTGAATGCATTTCGTAGTTCCTTATATGAAGGGTTAGAAAAACCGGAATCAAGAAGTTCAATTCACAACTTTATGACGCATCCTGAGTTTAGGATAGAAGATTCAGAGCCTCACATCCCCCTTATCGATGACACTGACGCCGAAGACGATGCTCCTACGAAACGCAACCCCAGCCCTCCACCCTCTCCCAACAAGAATAACAATGCTGTTGACAGCGGGATTTACCTTACCATGGAAATGAACAAGTCTGCTACCTCTTCATCCCCAGGAAGCCCACTACATAGTTTGGAAACATCACTCTGATTGTAAGCCGAATGTTAACACACTAGCTGCATTGTAAAGAAACAAATTGAAACTGGGTCTTTTCACATATTGTGACAGACAAGATAGTATTCTTGTCTTTGGACTTCAACAGAAGACACACTTGTACGAATGTAGATTTATTTTTTTAAAAAAAAACGCAAAGCTTTCTGCCAGACTGAGGGTGCTTTTTGGGGGGTGGGAGAAATGAACTGACAGATAAACAGTAACGCGGCATAAGTTGGCCTGTGCATCACCGGTAGTACCCGAGAGTGGTCCTGAACAGTGTATTAGCAGAGCTGATGGGAGCGGTGGGGGAGTGAAGCTGGGCAGGCGAAGAGCCCTGGATCATAGAATTGATACTTTAATTTCTGCTGTTGGCTGTTAATAATTTGGATTATTTATGTTTATAAATGATACAGATCTGTTTACAAGGTTTGTAGATACTTTTTTTGTTCCTGTTCATAGATGGGAAGCTTCCTTATAACTGATGCAGAGAAAACTTAGTCCTTCAAATACTGCTCTATTTTCAGGAAAAAAAAAAAAAAAAAAGGGGGTGTTTCTATTGAAACTGTACTAAATTTTTGCCTACAATTTACCTTGTTAAATATTGTAGATAAATTGCTAATACTAATAGCCAAATAGATAACACTAATGCTTTGTTTAAAAAAACAAACAAAACAAAACAACAAAAAAAACATGAGCAGTGGTGTTCTAATAAAGTTACGGCATCTGTCCTACTTAGTTTCTTAAATACATTTACTACTTAATGGTTTTGAAACAACTGTTTAATTTTTAAAATTTTTGAAAACTTGCTAATAACCTTTTGTTCAGAATTTAGTAGATTGTTTAATGTGGGACATCAGCTGCATAATGAAAGATGCTTGAAATGCTTTTGTTGTTTCAGGCAAATCAAATTAAATCAAGCTATCAAACTACAAGAGAACCTTAGTCCTTTCTGTTTTTGTCTAAACATGTTAGTTAGTGATGTCTTGGTGAACTGTGAGTGAACTGTATTGATTTTTCTAATAAATCCTTAGAAACCTTCATACAGCATGAGGGCTGTTGGCATTTTGAAAAAGGTTAATAAGTAGAAGCATACATGTTCTCCTTTTGTTTTTGAAACTTGTTTGTAAACATAAATAAATCTGCCCTTTTATTAAATAAATTCACGGCAATGTTTTTTTAAAAGGCATTTCAGCTTCTTGACTCCATTCTGCATGTATGGTGCAACAGCCTGTCCTCTTTAACATGATTGGAATGCGTTTCAAGATGGTAACAGCCCCATGAAATACTGCTTTAATTCCGTGGTAATAAGCTCATAGAACCAGATTAAGAAAATACTGTAATTTCACCATTCAACATATTCTTCATTGAATTTTTGTCTAAAATAGTCTCACTGTTTAAAAAAGAAGAAGAAGAAGAATGACCCCCGTTGTCTTTGGTACATTTATTTTAATTCTTAAGTGGCCAAATAGCAGATTAGGTAAAATGAGATTATATGGAAAGGTGAAAAAGGTCCATATATATATTTAGATATAATATTTAACCATATGCTAGAATGCCCATTTCTAAGCCAATTGGATTCTTTAAGTCTTCTTTCTTTGGTCTACCTTCTCCCCATTTTTGCCTCTGTCTTTACCTTTTAGGTACTGGCATTGTGTTAGGGCCCAGATTTCACCAGATAAACACTCCTCAGGTTGACATAAAGTTTACGAGGACTACTACAACATCTGACCCAGCAAAGAAACATTTAGTTGATGGTGCTTGATATTTTTGGTGGGTGGGGGAAAATCTTTTTCTCTCCATCAGTCCTTTGCGGTAATCCTCTACATGTCTTAGAAACACGTTGGCTCTGTCCGCACTTGTACATTTATTTATCAGGTATTTACAGTGAATCCTACTGTAAAAAGAGGTAGCATGATATGCTGGGAAGCATACCAGCCAAGGAGTCAAGACCTGGTTTCTAGCATCGGTTTTGCCATTAACGTGCTGCATGACCTTGGGAAAGTCATTAACCCTAAATGAGGGTGGTGGACTAGACTATCTCGAAGAACCCTTTCAATTCTAAAAATTGACCCTATCAACTGGAGAAGCCTACAGGGCATAGGGAATAGAGAAAAGGGAAATACTTTCAGTTTTCTTTTTTATTTTGGCTTATGCTTAAATATGAATGTAATTACCAAAAGATTTAGAAGTGCATGTGCTTTGGAGGATTTTTATTGAGCTTTTACAGTATTCATTTTTCAACTCAAGGCAATGGCTTTTTACACCCACTGTAATCCATAAACTGGTCTTACAACATCCATGAAGTAGTAGCAAGACATGCTTAGTGTATATTTCTCTCTTTGAGACACTGTAATTTTTACCAGAAGTTTCCAGAGCATTATGTAAGTAGAAAAAAAAATGCAAGCAAGCTGTTAAAGACCATGGATCCCATTATATAGTATGTATAGCTGACATCAGCATCTGTAATTCAATCACTTTTTCTCTTTTATCCTCTAACCAAAAAATTGTTTAATTTTGCATCCCAAATGTTTTTAATCTTTGTATATTTTTTAAAAAATCCTTTCTCCGCATCATTGCCTTTTTTGTGGTTGTAAATAGACTTACTTGCACTTTGAAGATGAGTTACTCCTTGTCATCTTACAAATATGTGATATGGTAATTTTCATAACAGATGTCAGTTTTAAACCAAGAAATGGTGATTTGTTTATAAGAAAAAAAAAAAAAAACTGGCTTCATTTCTGTGAAATTGCTCTTTGAAAATTTCTTTTTACACGTGTAAGCCAACTGAGATACCGTGATGGTGTTGATTTCTTTCAATGATGCTTACCATCTATTTTAGCCACTGAGCCTTTTATTATTTGTCTATTTGTAAAGTTTATTTGTCTTAACTCATTTAATAAATATACTGTTTATCTGTTTCTGAATGGGGACTGAACTTTTTGAATATTTATATTGACCGGAACCTATTTTAGAATTTTTTCTACTTGAAATTATGAAAATTTGATTGATAAAGATTCTAGAATGTACTTGAAATGTTATGGTTGTGAACCAGTGTCCAGTAGGCATGAGCTTGCCCCTAGAATGAAAGTGGGATTATTATTCTTACTCGCCTGCCCACCATCTTCAATCCTTGTAGCCCAATCGATCATGTCCGCAGTCCGTGGGAGTGTAATGTTTTGGTTTATAAAAGTTGAGTTTTCCACGTTAACCATAGAGCGTAATTTTTTGTTATAATGCAAACTTGTTAGTAGCAATTCTCTGAACTCTATGGTAATGCAATTAATCGAATTGCCCTTATTTGGTTTTTGTAATACATTATTAACATAAATATAGCAACTTTGAAATACTGAGTGAAATCTGAATGACTATGAATACCGTATTTTTCTATTAGTAAAAATTATTGGTAAGTTATTGAGTATATGTAAATACCGTATTTATGGCATGAGATGTTTTTCATTTTATCAAATTAAGTTTTATATGTATATTATGTTTTACAATTGAATTTTGAATTAAGTTCCCTTTATAAAATTAACTGAATAAGAAAGGGAAGTTACTCTAAGTCTTTGCGTGTTGACATTTTTCCTTCCCTGTGTCTTTAGTGGAAGTGTGTCATAATACAGCTGCTTTCTCCCATTTAATGTGTGTCATCTAAAACTACGATGTCCAAACACCATAGCAGCCTTTATCTTTTTTTTTTTTAAGATATGATTTTATTGATTTTTTAAAGAGAGAGGAGTGAAGAGATAGAAATATCGATGTGAGGGAGAAACATCAGTCGGCTGCCTCCTGCACACCCCTTACTAGGGATCAAGCCCACAACCCGGGCATGTGCCCTGACCAGGAATTGAACCAGGACCTCTCAGTCCATGGGACAACTCTCAATCCACTGAGCCACACCAGCTGGGCAACAGCCTTTATCTGTTAAATTCTAGTGTTAACACTCATTCATAGATCCCCAGAAAAATACCTTTACTAACATAACATCTAACTAAAATAATTTTTGAAAGAAATCTTTTAGAATATGCATTATAAAAATATAAATGTTTTCATGCAATAAGGGAAGTTGTGGTTCCGTACTTCCCTTAGTACATGTCAAAAAGGAAATTTTTTTATCCTTATGTAATTTTCTTTTCAACAGATTAATAAATTCTCAATTGAGAGTTTACTTTTATGCTTTTTGTCTTAAGAACTACTATAACCTTTTCTCCGTTTGTTAGAAAAACACTTCAGCTTACATGTGAATGAATATACTATATGTAAGCATGTTTAATCGATATTCTCTGAACTCATTGTCGTTATTGAACAATATAATATGGTGCCAAAGTAGGGAATTAAAGTAGAAGTGTGCAGGCGTGCTATGTAGTATCCGTCTTCAGCACAACTTCCTTAACCAGCACTGTGTCTTAGGAAAACTAGTTCCCACCTCAGTAACACATGTACAGGTGTGAGGTCCCCTAAAATTCTCTTAATGTAAATCAGTAACAAGGACCACACAATTTCCAAATTACTTTTCAGACTATTAAATATAAGTACTGATCCTTTCCTTGGCTATTAAAATAAATACAGTCTTCCCTCGCCACTGTGCGCTTCAACTTTATATATAGTGTAGTATTGAAAAAACCGCAACAGTGAAGCCAGGAAAGTCGAAGCGCGAAGTGGGAGGGACGGCTGTGTATCAATAAAGAACCCTACTTCATGGAAATTCATTTATTGCAGTAGAGTCTGGAACTGATTAACCGCGATAAAGGAGGGCCGACTGTATTGTCAGAACATAACATTTATGGTGTATTTGCTGTATGCTGAGCAGTTTACGTGGGTGATGTAAGTGGTTACCCTGTACTAACACTACCACTTTACATATGGGGAAACTGAGGCTTAAAGAGCTTCAGTCCCTTGCTCTAGCTCACATGGCGAACTGGGAGTCACACTTAAGGAAGACCTTCTCAAGAGCCCAAGCTGGTGGCTCCTTGTCTTTCCTGCAGTACTTCCGTCTTGTTTCCCCCAGTGAGGTCTCAATGCCTAAAAATCTATGCTTAACTTTTAAGTGCTCCTTTGCTGTTTCTCTTTTCTGTTCCCAAATGCTTCAGAGATGGTCTTTAAAATCCTCATAACCTTCCTGAAGGGGATAGCTCAAGAGACTGAAGCAAAGAATCACCGATTAAGATGTGTAACCCAAGGTTTCCTTATAATCATACCTTGAGCTGAAGAGTCAAAAATAAGCTCAGTAGAATGGCGTCTTTAATAGCATACGTTGGTTAGAGAATTTTGTACCTCAATGCTTTTAAGATAATCTAATTTAACAGGTCATTGCTTTATAGCCTAAAAAATTTGGAATGGAAATAACCTTATCACATTAATCAGATATTCTGCATTTTTCTAAAAATTTGTGAAATTAAAGAATAGGATGTTTTACATATGTTGAAGAATTGTTTTGGTTCTCCAGCAGGATTTTTCTACTCTAATATTTAGTGTAAGGCACACTGGACTTTATTCTATTCTATTTTTTTCCTTTATAAATTTTAGAGAATAAAGAAGGGAGAGGGAAAGAGATAGAAACCCGATGAGAGAGAACATTGATTGGCCACCTCCTGCATGCCCCGCACTGGGGATCAGGCCCACAACGTGGGCACGTGCCCTGACTGGGAATCAAACGGGCGACCTCTTGGTGCATGGGTCGATGCTCAACCACTGAGACACATCTGCCGGGCTGCAGACTAGACTTTAACAGTTTTAAAAATCAAGTTACAGACATTTTACTACTGTTTTAATACTATTTTATATTAATGTTTATTTATAGTTTGTGAATAGTCCATCAGCTTCCATTATAGTCTGGAAATATGAAATGCTTGGTCATTTTTATAATCTTTAAGGTAATATTTATCTTAGTGAAGATAAAATATTTAAAAACATTGTTATTCTGTAAGGCTGCCTTAATGAATAGCTTGAGAATGTGTGCAAAAAAATAAAGAACGATACCTCAGGGAGGCCTGTGGTATCTGAGGTTAGAAATTCAAATTAGGATGCTTTTCATTTATCTGGTATTCTAAGTCTTTTAACCGTAAGCCTACTCTTTCAGTTAGCTTCAAGCCCTCTGAGAATGATAAGTCTGTAACATCAGAAATCATTTATCTTTCACTTTCTCACTGCTAAAGACTTAGAATGGGCAGTAATCTCAGCGTCTGAAGTGTGGTGGGGATAGGGTGAATTGTAGCAGTGAAGACACCAAATTTCTGGAGTCTGGGACTCAACTTCTAACAACACTACCGTAGTGTCTGTTCCCCTTTTCCTCTCCCCCAAATTAACCACTTTATCTACATCTCCCGCTCTCCATTTATCCATTCAACAAGTACTGGTACCTGTCATGGGGAATTCATACTGTTCTAGACTTGGGAGAACCAAGAAAGGTCCTTCCTCTTTTTTTTAATTTATTTTATCTTTATTGATTTTTAGAGAGGAAGGGAAAGGGAAAGAGAGAAACATTGATGAGAGAGAACATTGGCCATCTCCAGCATGCCCCCGCTGGGGATCTGGGCATGTGTCCTGAGCTGGAATCACACTGACAACCTCTTGGTGCATGGGTTGACACTCAACCCTGAGCCACACTGGTCAGGCAAGGTCCTTCCTCTTAGGGAGTTTGTTCTAGTGGGTGGGAGAGACAGACCTATGTCAAGTGGTAGGAGATGATGCTGTTACATAGTGTGGTCAGGGAAGCCATCTCAGATACGGTGATATTAAGCAGAGACCTAAGAAACCAAAGAAGCCAACTTCTCTGTTGTCTGGAAGAGCCTTCCAGTAGATGACAGTTGGCAAGTTAAGAAAAGCAAGGAGGCCATGTAGCTGGAGTGGAGTGACCCAGAGGGAGAGCAGTAGGAAATGGGCTTGGAGACAGACTGGGAGGCCTGGCCTGACCTTCAAGTTACAAGGCTTGGTGAGAACTTTGGCTCTATGGGAAGCCAATGGTGGACTGTGAGCCAGTCGGACCTTTGAAAGCATCATTGGCTGCTCTCTGCAGCAAGGAAATTGGAAGTTGGGAAACCGGTTTGGAAGCTTTGCTTTTTTCCATTCCAGCTCAGTTTTTCCTGCTTCCTTTGTAGCCCACTATAGTCTTGTGGACCCCTTCCTTCCGTATCTGTTTTAATGTTATGCTTGTCCTGTTCTTCCAGATAACAAGCCTGGTGATATTTTTACAGTCAACTCAAGAACCTACACATTTTTCCATTTGCTTTGGCCTGTGTGCAGTTTCCCACGTGGGTTGCAGGAGTCTTTGTTTTTACTCTGTGCTGCTCAGCAACATGGTCACAAGTCTTCTATGGTTGGCATCGCCTCCAAACTGTCTTTCTTCCTCCTCTGTGGAAGCTCTTTACACCTGCTACTCATATTCCTTACACCAAGTGTGACTGCTACTCTCTCCATTCCTTGATCATCCCCCGGTCATTTTGGCCTACCTTTGGTGACTCCATGCTAACCAAGGCACTCCAGGTGGCTACCTCGTTCCTGCTCTGCCGTGGAGATGGCTTCGCCTCCTTGATGTTTCACTGCTCTGGCGCCTAAACCCAAACCACCTTCAGCATCATACCTGTCCTCAGCTTCAAAGTGTGCTCCCAGTCTTGCTGGTGACCAGAACTCACACACATTTTCTGATTGCCCTCACTGGTGCTCAGACTGACCTTTAACGTGTCTCTCCGTTTCAGGGTCCTTCCTCATTGCATTTATTCCAAATCTTTCTATTTTTGTCTAGAACACATCTTTTTCGTTCTACCTCTCACAGTCAATGAAGCCAGTAATCCCCCCCCCCCCCACACACACACACACATATATTATAGCAGACATCTGTTTCTCCTGTTACTGGTTTTTGGTCCCCAAGAACAGGATTTTACGTTAATCTATTTTAGTCAACTCATCACCTTGACTCCTAATTTTATTT